TCAAATAAATTGAAAATGGAAACATTAACATATTAACATGAGGCAGATTTTCAGACACTCCTTATTTTTTACCATATTGGAAATAGTATCAAATCAAGACACCACCATATCATATTGAACAGAATTATGAGTTTTGTGAATTGTTACAACCCTAATAGACACAACCACAGACAGAGATAAAGATGCGTTGAGGCCATTTGGTATCTGCTAGTAATGCAGCAAGTCAATGGGTTTAAACCCGACTCAGAATGAATAACTGTTATACAATACCTCCCTGTGGAGAAAAAGAAAGTGAGTGGAGGAACACTTTTGGTCGACGACATTGCATAAGAACGCTTTGTTCTTCCCTTTCCTTTTTCCATCGAGACGCTGTTTATGCGGTGAAACCATATTCATATTCCAGCGACTGTGGTGCAAAGCCCATGTTTAATTCAAATTCAGCACTGATTATCGCAGCACTATGCATATGGATCACAAAAGGAACAACAATACTTTGAGACACACCTCCCTAAGCCAATGATTATTCAGCAACACTCGTCTAAAGAGGGACCCTTAAAATCCACTCAAGAGGGCTATTTGAATATGAAAAGATTTCCTCTTCTGGACAGAAGAGGCCTCAGCGCTGCACAGCTGAACCGAGGTTTGGGTCAGTAACGGCTGCCTCTGATTGGAACGGCAGACACTAAACATTGCCCTCTGTGGAAGCTTTGTGTAGCTCTTGGGGCAACAGCAGTGTAAACAGAGCCCCTCTGCCGGGTCTTTAAAATCTCACACACGGCTGGGACGCTCTGTGACACCTAGCTTCATGTTTATTCTTCTTCTTCATCTCAGTTTCATATACAGTTTTATGCTCAATAGCAACTGAAAGTGGCCAGCAGAATTTAGCTAAAGCTTAAGGGGTCCAACTGTGACAGCTTTGAAGCTTTAGGTCACTTGGGCCCATAAGATTAGGATTACGCTTTTATGAGTGTCACCATTCAAATGCTGAGCATTAAAGTGATAGTTTGGCAAAAAAAATCAAATGTGCTTGTTTAGGTTCCTTCTTTAGTTTTAGACTGGAGCAAATTGTTGCTGTCCTAACAAAGACATGTATCTCCCAAATGATATGTTACCAGTGGTAACATAAAAGTTGTTTGTGCTTTTATGCAAAAGAGACGCAAAAGCACAGAGTGTTGATAAAAATGGGTTTGGCAAATGTGTATGTCATTCTATTCTGCAGTGAAAACTGGTGGACAATGTTACTACTAGCTGGTGAGCTGATGTAAATTTGTAAAATCAGTACCGTGAAGCTTTGATTATTAATGCACTAAAGTTATAGAGGGCAGCTTGTCCAGTGTTGCACATAAACATACCTTCTCTTTTTTCCAGCTCTCCCATTGGCTGTTGCCCACATGTTCAGTCATGTCACTAACTCACACTACAGCACCTATAAATGTTTTGAGCTGTAAAAATCAAACATTTTGAAAATATTGGAAGGCCTCCAATTAGTTCAAAACTCAATAAGAAGGCTAAAGATCAACTCATCAACACTTTCTCTATCAGATCATCCGTGCCGTCAGTCGTTTCCGATGATGCTTCTGATTCGGAAAATCACTTCCGATTGTGGAAAATTAGAGATATAATTGGGCTAAAAAATGTACATCTGTTCTGCAAGTTTCATTTATCTTCTTTTGAAGAATAAATGAAAATGAGATACAGTGTAATCTCTGCACCATAACGCTGGCATTTTATAAGTCAGTGACAACTATGCAAACTCATTTGAAAGTGGAACATCCAGGAGGGGTTTTTTGAATAATGCCTTGGAAATTCGAATGTCAAATTTGACTGAAATTCCCATCTGTAGTCCAAATATGACTTTTTGCCAAACAGTTCCTTTTAGAACCAATAGAGCTTGTCTCGACTGCAATGCAGCATGAGGATGGAGTGTTGCTGGTTGTGGAGGCTGAGCAGCAGTTGTGGGATGCTGAGTGATCGCTAAGTCTCCATTTTTGCCCTTGAGATGGTGCTGATAAAGTAACCTCTGCTGCTAATCTGTGACCAGTTTTCCCTTTCATCCTCTAAACTCTGAAATCGGGGTTGCGAAGAATGCGATCCTAGATCAACACTAAAGGCCAAGTGCTTCAGAGAGTACTGGTCAATGGCAGGTGACCCAGTCATGGCCCTCATACAGGTTGTGAGCTTGGAGTGATTTGAAGTTCTTCAGTGCTTTCCACAGATAACACAGGCATTTCAGGGAATGAAATAATGCACACAGGAAATGTAGACGGGGGAGGTACAAAGAAAGGGGAAAGATATACAAAAGTTAAACAGGAAATCTTTCATTTTCACTTCAAAACTATGCAGTTTGATGCATTTCAGACATGAAAGGAGTTCTGCAGATATGAAGTACTCCATTTAGGTTTGTATATAAGAAAGGCAAATTAAGTACGATTGCCTGATAACTCCTCATTGTATCCATAGATTTGGGAATTGCTCTCTCATTTTCATAGAAATGCATCACCTTTGTTAGTTGATTATCACATTACCGTAGCCGCCCCATTTCACTCTGGAAAACACACTCCCTTCTACCTACCTGTTTACTCTCAGTCTCTCGCTCTAGCTCTCTCTCCCTCTCTGAACACTGTGGCCCTTTGTGTCCCACTGCTGGGTCGGAGTATTCCGCTTTGTCCAGCCCAACATTCCTCACATAACTGTGCATCCTCTAACCCGGAGCAGGGCTGATCTAATCGAGACAGGACGCATTCTGGCTGGCTCATGCCCAGCACCGGAGACTCACTTTCAGCTTTCAGTTTACAGACTGATGGATCTTCTCCTGTCCTTAAAATTAAAGGTGCCAAAAGAAATAAAATAGGGTTCTTTGTACTGATGCACTGATCTTATATACTGGACTGATATCAACACTGACACTGACCTTATTAAACTGATCAGATATTGTTCATTCAAAATGTTTTTTTAGTCATGGTCATTAAAAATTTGTAACAATGCAATTTTGTGAACCTTCAATATATGTTTACACACAATCCTAAAAGAATGGTGCTGTATAACTGTCTTTACTATGCTTCATAGCCTGTATTTATAAATGTATACTTACAATGAAACACGTGCCTACAAGTCTACCTGTGTCATTGAACGTAAAATATCAACTAACACAAGCTTATTTTATACCAGAAATCCAAAATTATAAGAAACCCTGATTGAAAGGACAAAATTTTTGTTTCTCCATAATCTTCTATCAACATATAATGACTTTTGTGTTCCTCTAAATGTTTTCCTGATTTTTGATTATGTCTCAATGAGAAAAATAATATAATTAGCCAATAACATAATGTTTCATCATCCACTCCTACCACCCCCACCTATCATCATCAGAAAATGCTGAGTTAGCTCACAGATGCACCCTTATACCATGTTTGCATGGAAACCTTTATTTTTTTAAGTTCGCAGACAGGGCCAACAGTCTTCTAAGCTGAGTGTGTTTTTCTGGGAAAGGTACAAGAGTGACTCAGTTATCCAATATGTCTTACATAGTGTCAAAGAAAAATAGCTTTGCAAGTAAATGTGTACCTGGTCTACAGAATGGCTACATCAGTGGTCACCAAAAACCTGCTCCTGGAGATCTACCATCCTGCAGACCCCAGCTCCAGCCCTAATCGACCACACCTGAGCCATCTAATGATTGATTCAGAAGTCCTTGATTAGCTGAATGAGATGTTTTAGATTTGGGCTGGAGGTGAAACCTGCCAGAAGGTAGATCTTTAGGAGGATTGTTGACCACCAGGCTACATAAAGAAAGCTCAGATAGCCATCAACAGGAATTTAACAGTTGAAGGTAGCACACTGAACAGCAAGTTAATGGTGGTGATTGAATGAGCTACGGAATGTGGCTGGCAGACAAATACATACAACAAGAGCAGAAGTAAGTAAGCACAAACATCTGTGCGGTAAAATGAAGAGAATACTCACTGAATAGCAAAAGCTACTTGTGATTCTGAAAATCTAGCATGGCAGTGTTATGTATGAAAAGGACATTTGTGTGTTGACAATAGGGCTGTAAGTCTCTGGCCTCACAGTGAATGAATTCTGATTCTTTATGAAGTAATTTCAGTGCATCATGTTTTTTCCCCAAGATTTAAATAGATTATTTTAGAATTATTTCTAAAACTACACTGTGTGCACTAATGTGACTGGAGAAACTATTTACACTGTATGGAATATAAAATAGGGATACACCAATTATGAATTTTCATGTCCTATTCCGATTTCTTTACAGCCAAATTTGCTGTTTTTCGGCAGATTTTTATCAGCCTTTTTTACCTAAAACTCACACTGTGTGGATTGAATGAACACATGTAACACACTAGTACCGGTATTTACTATTAGCCGAAATGGTCGTATAAATAAATTGTTTACTCTTTAATGAGCCAGACTGCAAATTCTTGAATGGAAAATTTGTTGCCTATCTAAATAAAGAGGCATCTGGCTATTTAGCACAATAATGACACGTTGGTACAGGTATCACAGCAGCATTTAAATATCATGTTATTTACACCATAAAATTAAAAAACATAAATTGGCTGATTGCCAGTTTTATGGAGATAAAATCTGTTCATTTCAATTTTGGCTGATTCTGATTGTGTGTCTCTAATAAGACAATAAAAAACAATACAAGATTTTTTTCTGCTTTGATTTTTACATTTAGCCTGAGATTTTTATTTTGTCTAAATAAAAATAGGTACATACTTGAATAGTACTGTAATTGACAATAGTCTGTTCTAGCATTCCAGCTGAATCGCTCCACGTCAGTGCATTATGATGTACTGATGAACCTGTAATTGACAACATTTGTAAGCCTGGTTTGAAACTGACCATCTAGAATTTTTAAAGACCAATGTTTTTCATAGTGGCACTGATAAACAGATAATCACAGTGCTCTGTGTTGGATTTGGTCTTAAAAAACTGTAGTAATGTGATTTGAATTTCTTGCTGTTGTCCCTCTCCAGTCTTGGTGACCAGTTCTATAAGGAGGCCATAGAGCACTGCCGCAGCTACAATGCCCGCCTGTGTGCTGAACGCAGTGTCCGCATGCCCTTCCTGGACTCACAGACCGGTGTGGCTCAGAACAACTGCTACATCTGGATGGAGAAACGCCACAGAGGGCCAGGTACACAAACCCTAAACTAAAGCAATGACCTGAGAAAGGCTACAAAAGGCCAGTGATGAAATACACAATGTTAAATAAATCAACTAATTTAATATTAATATTTATCACTATATACTATACACTCTTCCAATGTAGTTCATTAACAGTAGATAGTGTTTTCTTTTAGTAATACATGATGCAAATGTTTGGCAAATTGGTTTGACCAATAACAGATCATTAGTCGGTGATTATTTGTTAACAGACAAGTCCAAAATCAGGTGGCCATCAAAATATTGATTCTAAAACATAGCAATCAGGTTCTGAAATTTGATTTGCTGAGCTATGTTTGTTACCACTGTAAAATACTTGATATACACACACTTATGAGTTCACACATCAACTGAGTTCTTCATTAATACACTGAGATATGAAAAAGCATATGGACTGTGGACTGAGGACTATTGATTGATAGGTGAGAGACTGTATTAAACATAGCCTGAACACTTAAAAAAGATGGTACATCAAGAATTCTTTGGTAAAGAAAATGGTTTTATATAGAACGATGAAAATTCAAAGAACCCTTTGCATGATTAAACCCTTTGCATGTTCTTAACATCATGAAAGGGTTTTTAGATTGATCTTTTTAAAGGGTTCTGGTATTGTTATGTTATCAAGTTTGTAACCATAGAAGAAAACTTTCAGTGCTATATAGAACTCTTTTCAAAATTGTTCTATATAGAATAATCTATAGCACATTCTCCATCAATTTGAAGAACGCCTTCAAATGCAAAGAACCCTATATTCATGCAAAGGGTTCTCTGAGTGTCCATGGTTCTATATAGAACCATTTTCTTTACTAACCACTTTTTTTTCTTTAGGAGCATCTTTTTAACTGTGTTTGCAAGAACCAGGTTTATTTTGACCTGAGTGGCTGACAACTATAATATGTTTATGATTATATGTCCAAAGAACTAAGAAAGATGGACTGGAATGTATGATGATGAGCTACTGAAAGTTCTATAATCCAAAGTTCTAAAGTTATATCTATCACTCATTACTAGTCCATGTTAAAATGAACATAAATACTGTGAGTGGGGCTAGCTTAGGCTAAGTCTACCCCAGTAGCTCTGGAAAGCCATTGTTGTCCATCATGTCCTTCTCTCTACTACATCACTGCCCAAATGTGACTTCCTAACACTCTTATGCATCACACTTTTTCTTGGAGAACATGGGCGAAACATATGTCTGTCGATATGGTACTATGATTGCTTTAGTTGTGCTATCACTCAAAAAGCAGTCTTGAACACCACTATTTTCAGCCTCATCTAGCAGAAAAAAATGTCCTATTTTGCCATTGTGCGTGCACTTCAAAAATGTTCTTTAACTTGAAAGATAAGTATGTGTATTCAAATAAGAACTAAAATTTTTTACTTTTTTTGAACGTTAAAATGTTCACATTGTGACATTTTTAACTGCTAGCATTGGTAGAGCAATTGTTTATTTGTTTATAACATCCATAATGTGTAACAGCTTCAAATGTGGCTCAGCAAATCACATTTTAAAACTGGAACTAATTAAGGTACAAACATGATTTTATATAAGTGAGTTTGAATCTGTTTCTGATTAATAACTACTAGCTGTTAATTATTAGCTACTGTTATTCTGAAAAATAAAGTGTTGCTCATTTCTCTTAAGGTGCTATTTCCCTTCCCCATTTGTGCTCTGAAATGTTTTAAAATGAACTGAACAGTTCCAAAATTCCCCAAATATGCTTCAGATCAATGGTCAGCCATCAGTGGACATCACATGTATTCCGTAATGTTTGATCCTGCCACAAGTATTTAGATAAAGAGAGCTTTTGCTATACACACACTTCAGAGTTTTCCTTTAGAATACAAACTAGATCTAGGCTTAGACGTTTCACATCAGATTTAGTTGGTGTTTCTTTTACACCATTCCAAATAGACACAGGAAGCAGGCTTGCTTTGTAGTGGATGTTTTTAATACATACTTGATATTTTAAATACAGGACAATTTAGTATGTTACAAACACTGGATTAATAAACACAGACTCTCTGTGTTTAGCCTATTTAGACCAACTAGCTGTGATAGATAAGCTACATCCTAAGCTGTATCCCAGTTTTGCTTCAGCTTTATGCTTAAGTCTGTTATGAATTGAATAGCTTTTCTATAAAAGACAGCAACACAGTGCCACAGCGTTCTCTTCCTTCTGACCCGGCCAGAGCTGCTGTTGATATCGAGGCAGCAGAAGTCTCTGCCAAAAGGAACAATATGCTGCTGAGAGCTGGACACAAATAGAATCAACATCTTGCATGCTAAAGCCTCTCAGACACACCCTGTACTTTGTGGTAAACCAGTGTTTATTGCATGTTTTTTATTTAGGGCTTATCTCTGTCTCACTTGTTTCTTCTACTCAAGCCTGTGTCTAGTTCAGTTCATTTAACTGCAGCAACTACCGTAAATTATTCAACAACTTTAAATAATATAAGCTATGTTTTATGTAAAACAGTGAGGTCGAAATGTCTGAGAAGTGTTTTTAACTGCAAATTCTATTATCAGCATAACAATTTGAGTGAAAGTAGATTCTTTGAAATATGTACATGAATTTTTAAATTTTTTTAGTTCTTGAATTAGCTTTAATGACAGTGTGCACTCAAGCTGGACTCTACAAGTTTGTGCAAAAACCTCTAATGAGCAGTTCAAATGCACCTGACAGTCACCTGAACACAAGCTTCAGTGGAAAAAATAAGCCTAAAAAAACAGTCAGAACTTTTTGTACTAAAGCTTTAACATGGTCAATGTCAAATGGAGCTAGGATGTAACAGAATATAAGTTTTGGGAATGTGTGTTCAGAATACAGAAATTAAATATTGGTATTCAGTCAAATGTACATTTTGTAAAGGCAGTATTCAGAATACAGTTATGTTTTACTGTTCTAGGAGGACATTTTTTAGGATACTTACCCACTAAATAAAAAAAAATCTTCCCAACACTGTTCACATATTTAAATAGTGACCTAGAAGGAGAATCTTGAGTATTTCTATATTTTACTTGTCATAATTTTTATTTGCTTTCAATTTTCAGAAATCCTAAAACTGTGATATTTCCATATTTAAATGAAAAAAATGTCAATTTGAGAAATGAGAAATCTGTTATAATTGAGTTATAATAAAATTAACATCCAGAATTCCTTGTATTGTAAAAGTGGTGATCAAATTCCATGTTCCAGGTAATGTATCAAGGAATAACTTTAAATAGATGAGTACAGTATATTATTTATCACTTAATTAGTTCTTGGTGTTCCCAAAAACTTGAAATATTTAATAAAACATATCAAAATACCTTCTGGTGTCTAGCTTAGCATTTCAATCTCCACTGCATAACATATTATTGAATAAAATATCAGCAATCATTATGATGAGTGATTTCAGCTTTTGAACAGTAGTGTGAAACAGTGACACTGTTATGCAGCTCAAACCTGGTAATCAAACCAGAGTTATAAGCAACAATTTTGGTCTTTGTGGACCTATGAAAGTTGCTGCCAAGTATCATTTAACGTGTTATTCGTCTGGGCCGATATTGATAACTGATAATTAACATTTTGTGTTTCTGATAATGATACCCACAAAAAAGATAATCTATATATTGTCTTTGCATGAAAAACGTTCACACTATAATCTGGATACATGAAACATTTAGTGTAAGGTTAAAAGATGTTTTATTTGTTATTATTTTACAAAGCTATGACACAGCTAAAGTTGTATGTGAAAGTTTGAACACCCCTGATGAAATTACACATTTTGTTGATTTTCTAAGTGAAAAGAAGTTGACACCACCTCTGCATGAAGCATTATTTGTTGTAAAAGATGTCTAAAAACTTCCTGCTTACAGTTTTCACTCTCTGAAATGTCATTAAGAAATGGAAGTTAAGGACAACTGTAGAAGTTAAGTAACACTATTTACAAGACCAAGAAAGTTCTCTGCTAAAACTGCTTGTAGACTTGACAGGTATGCAAAGCAAAACCCCCACATCACTGCCAAGGACCTGGCTTGGGAACAGTAAATGAATGTGCAGCATTGTTGGACAAACATCATCTACATGGGAGGTTCATCAAAAGAAAAATTTATCTGTGATCTCATCGCAGAACTCAACATCTGAAGTATGCAAAACATCCAGATAAGCTAGAGGCATTTTGGAATCATTTTCTGTGATCTGATGAAATGAAAATGAACTCTTAGTCTTGACTACAATACCCAGGAAAAACGGAGTAACATTTCAATAAAAGAACATTTTGCCAACTGTTAATCAAAGGGTGGATCTGTTATACTTTGGGGTTGTTTGGCAACCAGTGCTGCAGGAAATGTTTTGAGCATGGAGGGAAGAACAGATTTTACTAAACATCAAGAAATTCTGGAAGCTAATGTCCAACAGTCAGTGAAGAAACTAAAGATGGAAAGAGGCTGGACATTACAACAAGGCTATCATTCAAAACATGCATCAAAATCAACTTTGAAATACTCCAAAAAACAAAACACTAAAGTTGGAATGGACTTAAATGTTAAATTGAAAATCTGTGGTTAGATCTTAAATATGCTGTGTATGCAAGATGACTTTGGAATATTTGGAACTAAAAGTGTTATGCAGGGAAACAAAGTCCTAAATCAAGAACAGAGACTGTTAGCTGGGTATAAGAAACAATTGGAGGCTGTGATTCCAGCCAAAGCTGTTCTTACGAAGTACTGACTAAAAGGGTTCCCAAACTTATGCACATGCCACATTTATGTTTTTCTTTCCAATGTGATGAATTCAGTATGTAATTACAGAAACATGTCATATTTGAGTGTGTTTTATGCAGAGGTGGTGTCTACCTCCTTTTGCTTAGACAAGTAACAAAATGTGTAAGTTGACCAGAAGTGCCCAAACTTTCGCAAACAACCGTGCCACGCCATGAAAAAGTATTTGCTCCTTTCCTGATTTTCTTTGTGCATCTATGACAGTGAGTTTTTTCAGATCTTTAGATGAGATGATAATTCTTAGAGACTGTCTGCTCATCTGTCCAAGAGCTGAAAGCAAAAAATAAACAGCAAAGAAAGTCAAACAAAAACAAGTTATCCAAAATAGTGAAGCAAATCTACATCTGAATGTCTGAAAAGAAACTAAAGTAGTTTTGGAGGGGCCTAGTCAAAGTCCTGACTTGAACCCAATAAAGAGGCTGTGGCAGGGTTGGTTGGTTGCAGTTATTACTGCTACAGGTCATGAAACCTGTTATTAATCTTAAGGGGCAGTTACTTTTTCATATGGATGATTCACATGTTGGATAGATTTGCTCCTTTATGTAAATTAAATAATAATGCAAAACATGTGTTTTGTGTTTGGTAAAGTTCTGTCTAATATTACATTTTGTTTAAAGATCTAAAAGCATTAACTGTGACAAATAATAGTAATAGAGAAAATCGTGAAGGGGGTAAATACTTCAGAAATGACCTTTTTCTGTGTGGTTAGTTTATGCTCCTATATCATGTCATATAGAGCAAGTTTCACCATATCTTTTCATTTAGAAAACAAAATTTTTTGTTTGTATCAAAATGTAATGACTTAACTGCCTCTAAAACATCTGATGTTTGATTACATCACTGTGCACCAGCAAACGGAGAAAATAATATTAACCAATAATATCATGTTTGACCTCCACCTATTATTGAATAAACATGCTCAGCTAGCTCTGAGATCCTCATGTTGTTTCACTTGGAAATATGTTCAGGAAGGAACATGCATTATGATTTACAATTCATGCTGACATTATTTCATTTTTATTGTATTTTATTTTATTTATTTTTACCCAGTTTTGCCCCCGGTTAGTCTTTGGCAGTGCCACCTGCTAGATCTCCCCCTATCACACAATGATATCAAACTGGGAGAGTGATGGTTATCATACAAGGCCAGCAAAACCACTTCTTTTAAAAAACGCTGCACCTTCATTGAACAGCTCAACACGTTTAGAGGAGAACGCTAACTGATTATTATGTTGTCTAATAAGTGTGCTAACATTAATTAATGAAGGGAAAGTGAGGGCTATCCTACCCACCCAGAGAAAGCAAGTCCAGTTATGCTCTCTTGGACTACTGGCCATGGATGGCACACTGATTTTAAACATATAGTGCTTCACTCCAAAATGATTTTACAGCAGAAGAAAAAAACCCACTTTACTTTTAATGACTTAACTTTTAAAGTCAATGGAACCAGACTTTTTGGCTGTCATTTCTTTTGGTCCATTCATCATGAAATCTACACATAATATAAAGGGCATCAAGCATTTTCAAATTGCATCATAAACAGAAAAATGACAAAAATTGAGATACAAGGTTTTGTTCTGATAGCACTGATGTAACTGTGTAATAATTATTGTATAATAATTCTTTACATTGTAATTTCATTGTTATGTATTATTAATTGAAGAGCTTTTATTCCAAAATGCATTTTAGACTACTTTCAAGAATTTTTTTTCATGATATGCATTGTTGGGAGTGGGCTTTACACATACAAGAAATATAATAATCGTGCATTATAATGAATACCACTGTTATTAGAGCAATAATGATAATGTGTTTTCCCTTATGTCAGCAGTTATTCTTTTCAAAAACTCCTTACATCCAAAATTGTTTCAAATGTATATACAGCATTTTAGAATGAAACTCTTCAATGACATTTTCCTTATTTAGTGACAAATAATATATCAGGCAGCAAGATAAACTGTAATATTTGGCAGAACTTTTTTTAGTATTAGTTTTAGTTTTAGTATGTGAATGTCTGTAAACACTGTTTTGAACATGCTTGTGTGCCACTGCAGGACTGGCTGCGGGTCAGATGTACACTTACCCTGCCCGCTGTTGGAGAAAGAAGAGGCGGCTTCATCCCCCCATGGACCCTCAGCTTCGACTGTGTGAACTCAGGCTTGGTATGAACATAACAGAAGGTTTCTCTGTCTTTCTCACACAGACACAAACTCCCTCCCACACTATACACCTTGGCTTCATATTTCCTTCGTGTCTCTCTCTCTTTCTCCCTCTCTCTCCCCTTCCTTTTCTCTATGGTCATTCAGAGACTTTAGCATTGGCCCCATCTGGCTCTCATTACCCTCTCTCTCTCTCTCTCTCTCTCTCTCTCTCTCTCTCTCTCTCTCTCTCTCTCTCTCTCTCTCTGTGTGCCCTGACTGGGCCCCTGAAATCATTTGGCCATGCAGCATCAGAATGTAAGTGAGGCTAAGTTGGTGTTAGTGGTTGTTGTTGGGGAGGGGAGGGTTTGATAGAGCTTGTGGAACTCGATAAGAATGAATAAAGGCCAGTCTGTGTCTAAAGGAAGCCCAATGCATTGTTTTCAGCAATCTAATACTGCAGTCTAGAAGGCCTCCTTTCACTGCGCACCAAGCAATTCCAAATGCCGCGCACAACCAAGGAATGAAACATCGCAGATGTAGAGCCTTTGGTAGAGCTACATTTGTCTATGAGACTTATATAAGGCCGAAGTGGATACCGGAGCTGCACAGTGTAAACAAAGCTGTGCTGTGAAATTGGATGTTGGCTGGATTAGGACAGAGTTCCTGTGCTTGTCTAAACTTTGAAATCAACTTGCTGTATCTTACATTTCAAGAGAGTAAGTATGCTCAGAGCTGCCACTATAAACATGATCACCATTCAACAGCCCACACTGTAAAAAGCGTGTCTCCTCTTTAAAATACCAAGGCAAGCAGCTGTACAGCTATTTTTAAGTGAACTCAATTCTTATAATTCTTGGGGACCACTTAATGAAACCTCCTGTGTTGGCAGCTCTCTCAAAAACAATGACCTCTCTGAACTTAAAGAAAAAGTAGGTTCCCTGTTTTTCAATCTAGAAGTTATTTTATGTGGTTATTTCTCACTCATAGCTTCCTGAAACAAAAAAGCAAAAGAAAGAAATATTTTACTTGAAAAAGCAAAACAATCCTATACATTTATACTATATTTTTCCATTTTTTGATACCAAAACCAACAGAAAGAAATCAGAAGTGCCAATTTGAACCTGACAATATAAAATGTAGATTGACTGCTAGTGTAATTCATTGAGTACCTAGGTAATTAATTATGTAATAATGTTAACTGTGATTTATCTCTTTCCTTTCACTTAGAGGGGTGGTATGGGTGGGTGAGGAGGTGCTGTGGGTGGAGGGTGAGGGACTGGGTGTGTTTGGGGGGTGGGTTGGTTGTGGTACCACATCACCCCATGTCTGTATGACTATGAAGAAGCAGGGAATTGTGTGACATTAAGAATGAAATGAAAAAGAAAAGTTAATGTCCCTGTAAAGGAGGGGTGGTGGTGGTGGTGACTATTACAGTCAACATAAAACAATGAATTCATATAGCACACTGTATGATGTACATGGTGTATATAGCAAAATAACAATGAAATCTCTAGACTTCTAGACTTTCCATCAGTTATAAGCATGCATTGTACAACCTTACCGATGTTGTACTAAAAACATAGTACCATTTTGTAGCTTCATAAATGGAAATTCCACCAATTTTCAAAATTTCTGCATAAGTCAGTGGTTCAGAGTTTAGCAAAGTCATTCAAAGTGGTTTATTATAAAGTGGTTTATTGTAGAGAAACATTTCTTTACAGTTGTGGTGATAAGAATCAGGGGTTACAAAGTCTCTAACATAAATATATGCTAGTGAATCTAGACACGTCCTAGACACATTTCTCTGTCATCACTGTCTAAAGGAAAACAAGCATCTCCAAAATGGTAACTTTACAGAAGGCAGAAGTGGTTATTTTTAAACTTTTATATTTAATGTAAGTTAATGTAAAGAGATTTTATTCTAAGCAGTTTTAGAGCATTTCTATTGGTCCATTTATCAGGAAATGTTCACATAACATAAAGGGAAACTGCTGTTCAAATGATAAAGAAAAATAAAAAAATAAATAAAAATGGTGATAATAGTTTTTTTTTTTTGTTTAGTTGTTTTTTGGAAAACAATGATATGTTGATAATAGTAAAACAGTGGTAAATCTGAAAAAAATCATGAAAAAGAAACTCACAAAAAACACAGTCCAATAGTGTAATCAGTGAAGCTTTACAATCCAGATAAATCTCTTTATGTTAAATATATAAATCACTCAGAACATGTTTTCAGTAGCAGTAATATCATGTCTGATTTTTAGAACTCCATGCAGTTGCCACGGTGCATCCCAACCATTTATAAACTTCCGCTCTAGATTTCCGTATAGCAGGAAGTTCAAAGTTGTTGTCCGGCCAGGAACTACATTTTCACCCATGCAGAATAGGCTGCATTTGTTCTGTTCCAGCACAATGGAAACTGTCTTTTCACTCAGTTGTCATGACCTTAAACTAAACAACCCTGAAGGACTGACGCTGTGGTTGGTAGTAACAGTAGGATTGGATGTGAAGACGTGTAAAGACTCCTGGTTTGTGCAGTGACTGTTGTGATGAAGCAGATTATTCTAAACCATGTAAGGGCTGCAAACAGCCACCCAAACACTTTCACCACAACAACACAGCTGTATCTGTCCAGCAGAGACAGAGTCCCATCGTTACGGTTACAGTTTGGAACGTGAGGTATGTGTTTGCTAACAGTTAGCAGCCTAATGTTATTTCTCTCAGGGAAAAGAAATGTAGGAGCTTCTGACGTGGATGCAGAGAGAGAACATATTTACTGAGTCAGTAAAGCCTTACAGGAAGCATGGTTTGTGACATTTCTTTTTTCAGACTCAAACATTTATCTACTAAAGAAGATGCACATGGTACAGATGTCAGTAAAAAAAAGTAATGTATATTATTAAAGATTGTGTAGAAAAGAATGGATATAATGCACAATACCAAAAAATATTAAACACATAAAACAGAACATGTGCACAGTGAACAGATTCATTGAAAATTTTTATACTACTGTACTGAAATAGCTCAAGAACAATTAAGAAAAAAAAATTAAATATTCATACGTCAGATATTTACTAGAGTTTTGCTATGATCTGTGTAAACCCAGCATTAATTGAGATAGTTATGAGCTAAATATATACAAAATAATCATTTATGAGGTACTTTCTGTTGGCTGTCTCAAACCCTAAAAATAATAGTTACATATTTTGTTCAAACATAACATATAACATATATATGTTATAACATAAGACATACATATAACATATATATGTGTATGTATGTCTTATGTTATAACTATGGATGGATGTCCGTCATTTGTCTTAATAAAATAATAAACATAAGTGAGGTATAAAGCGAAAGCAAAGCAAAAGGATTTTAGTCTAAAGTCTAAATTTGTTAAAAGTCTGAAATGACTTGAACGTTTTCAGTGGATCCATAATCAGTAGGGATGCACTGATATGGGAAATGTGAGCTATATTCTGTTATTTTTTCAGGTACAGATGCTGATATGAACCTTTACAAATGTAGAAATTGGGATAAGATCCACACAGATCAACATTACAGAGAAATCTAACTTTTTTTCTATAGAATTACAAATGCAGTAAAAAGAATAAAATGCTAATGTTTTAGCACAGTGACCCAGCATCACCTAAACACTGTGCTCTTCTGGAGCTCAATAAATACACCATCAAATATCAATTTGAAATATCATCAAATCCGAACATCTGTCAAGTGCTGATCTTTTTTTTAAGCAGTTATCTGCCAATTCCAATATGATGCAGTGTGATGCATTCCTAATACACAGTACAGTACATTTACAAAGCTCTTCTTGAGGGAGTCCAGCGTTTACCATCGAATACCAAGTTTATCTAATCAGGTGCTGCTGACAACAACAAATTAGCAATTTTAACAAATTAGCACAATGGCTGGAGTCAGTAACCAAACTTGTGTTACTTTAAATGTAATCTTCGAACTAAAATTATAAGAGGTTATGCATATATTAGTAGCATATTTAAAACAAACACCATCTGCCAGCATTTTACTGTAGGTCTATTTATGTTCCTTTACAGGCAAAAACATATTTACTGCAAAGATAAATAAAACTTTTGCACAGTGCTGTATATAAAATGTACAGTTAAAGATGTGACTGGTGGATATGTGCATTTGTAATATGTACGGTTCACTGCCCAGTCCACACAGCTGCCATAACAGCTTGTTTTAAATTTATTGTTTTTGTGATGTCACAAAAATGAACATATTTGCATATTTACACCTATTTAGTCTACTGAAGTTCAGACCCGAGAATTCATGAAGAGGTTACAAGGAGTTTTTCAGCTTGGACTACTTTTTGATTGTGTCACAATGCAAGGCATTGAATCAGAACAGAGATCATTTACACATATCAGTCTTAAAAGCACAGTATTTTGTATTTGTCTTTATAGTCGTACCTCTTTTTACAGCTTCAAGTTAACAGCATTTGCCTGAAGGCCCACCGCTGAGAGGAAGAAGTATTATATCTGCAGGTTTCCAGGAAAAAGCTCAAGTTTTGTGCTTCCCAAAACTCAGTACTGTGAAACTAGAGCCTGAGTTCAGTTCTGTTTCAGGGTTATATAGGCATTACACTTTCACGCAAGTTGAACATAAATTCAATGCAAATACACAGTTACATTAAAAATCAGTGACTAGTGAAAGTCATGGAACACATTTGATGTACATTTAAAGTGCATAGATTGCGATAAAACAATAGATTGTGGCTAACAAAGCAGAACAAACGCTGGTATAAGCAGCTGTTCGAACAGCTGTCATGTTGATTTTAGCTGCTAAGATGCAGTGAGACTTCATTATTTTTGTCAGTATCATAATGCTTTATAACTAAGGAATGGTAGCAGAGTCAAAGCAGCAGTTGTGCAGGTGAAGGGTCTCACTGCAGAAACTGCATCCTGAATTGAACATCAATGAGTTTAGGCCTGATCCTGGAGAACTGCCAATGTGTTCGCCCCGCGGCAGTGAGGCATAATCCTGTGTAGTAACAAGACGTAAATGTGAGAGACCAGTGTATGTTTTGGAGTTGGGTTAGAGTTTATGTATTCATGCACAAATTTAAGTGTGCAGGCCACATTCACAGGAGTTCAACTAACTGCAGTGTGAACAGAGCATATTAAATTCAGAAATCAAAGTAAATCATTTCAGAAACTAACTATTAAACTGAAAGGGACTACATCCCACTTTTAATTTATGTTTTCCCCTGAAGTTTTTTTTATGTGCCAAACAGTCATGTCATTTTTACTTTCCCAGCATTTTTTTAGCCCTTAGAATTAAACAGGCTGTTTTTGTTATTATGCCTAAAGACTGATGTACATATAATTCTCTATCTCTCTATCTCTCTCTCTCTCTCTCTCTCTATATATATATATATATATATATATATATATATATATATATATATATATATGTATATGTATGAAAATACTGAAATACCCCTTATAACTTCAATGTGAGTAGACATATATATATCGGTTTTTGTGACATCACAGAATCACAAGAAGAGTAAATTCGAAACAGGCTGTTTCTGCAGCTTAGTTTTTTTCACATATAGACTGTATTGACTGGGGGGGTGAACTGTACATTTTGAAACTTCAACCACGTTTTCATACTGTTTCAAACTCTTGTAAAAAGCTGCACTATGTAAGTCTTGGGGATTTGGAGAACTCTCTGATGGATTGCATATTCTTACATGCAGAAGAACATCCTGTAAAGTGGGTTGTGCTTTGGACCCCCTCGCTTAGTGGATGATTGCGAGTATGTTGAAAGAGTTTTCAAAGAGAACTCAGTCAAAACTTGTTGAAGGACATGTCTTCTGAGGACATGATTGAATTAACTACTATTGTCATCTTTTTTCCTCAAATCTTTTATTGTTATCATATCTGATTTTAATTTGATGAAAAGTTATTGTTGTGCAAATGTAGTTTACCTTATTTTATTATTTCTTGACTTCAAAACAAACAGAGAAAAGTCACAAATGCAGACTCAATTCTGTTGAGACACATAAAGTGAGAACATAAATCAAATGTAAATGCAATTAATGTCATAATTGTCATTAATTACATAATTATGCAATTATATTTGAATCAGACATTAGCAAAATGTATGTATATTAATAACACAAGAATAACTCAAGACATTGAAAGGTTAAAAGCTTATTGTGTTAAATTATGTTGGCACGTCCTTTTGCATTTTTTGTTATATTTGGTTCTTTGTTTATTTGTTTGTTACTATTAATCTATACACACATTTACACCATTAAGCATGAATTCAGGTTTTAAATACTGAATAACATTTGAGTTTGAATCCCACAATCGCTAAATAAATCCATATCAAATTGTGTTTCTTGACAGTCACCGATTGGTGAATGCAATCCAGTGATTTAATTAAATTCAGGAAGCTGTGAATGGCAATCTGTTGTGCTGATTGGTGTGTGTTTGAAGAATTTGTCCTCGATTAGGCTCTTTGTCTTTAGTGTCTGCTCCGGCTGCTGATTAGCGGGTGGAAACGGGGGTGCGAAGAGTACCAGGAGACGCTCAGCATGTGCAATCAGTGACTGAGTGACAGCACAGCTCCCACGAGACTGAACGAGCCAGACACAAAGAAAAGAGAGAAAGAGAGAGAGACGAAAGGGAAAACGCCTCATCCAACACCAACACACATGGTTCTTTGCTTTGTTCTGGAAAGAATACACAGAGCATGGAGGTGTTGGACGCCATGATGTCCGTCGCTGCATAGATTTAACATGTAGAGCATCAGAGAACTAAGCTCTGGATTGAAGGAACAGAGTCTTTTTTGTCTCTCTCTCCTTTATCCCTCTTTTATCTTGAGCACCTGGAGGCTTTCTCCTTTCATGAGGCCTGCCAGACCATCAGCTCCGCAGAATAAATGTATGAAGCGCAGGTGCGTCCAGGACAAAGCTCACCCAACTGACCTTCACACCATCAGCACACACAGAGTGCAGACATTGATGGTTAAGTCATCCTGAGTTGAATTGCTTTCACTTTTTCATTTTTCCTTTGTTTTTATTTTTCCCAATGGTATATTTTGGTCACAAAATTCATAGGAAAACTCAGCTGTACACCTTTCCTTGCCTCACTCTGTCTTTCTTTTCTCTTCTTTCAGTATCTCTCTTTCCATGTCTTTCTTTTTATTGCTTTTTTCTTTCTCCTTCTCTCTTTCTCGCTTTTCTTCTTCTCTTTCTCTCTCTCTCATTCTCTTCTGTCCCTCCTTCTTTCTCTGTCTTTCTCTTTCTCTCTCTCTCTGTCGTCTCTCTGTCTCTTATTAATTCTCTCTGTCTTTCACTCTCTCTCTCTCTCTCTCTCTCTCTCTCTCTCTCTCTCTCTCTCTCTCTCTCATTAATTCTCTCTGTCTCCTTCTCTCTCAGAAGCTGAGCTGATGCCTAAGAAAGAAGCCCCACCCACTGAAGCCACAGCTCTGGAGGCTCTTTTGAGAGGGGAGGGGATTCTGGAGAAAAGGAACACTAGCTCTAAAGAAGAGGAGACACTGCTGGAGATTCAGGTACGCATCTACACACACACACACACACACACACACACACACACGTGCACACGCTTGGAAATACCCTGCCAGTCCAAAATGTTCAAAATAGCTACAGTTTAAAGCATCTTATTTTATATATCACATTTTGTCACAGTCATATAAAAATCTTATAACCCCATTTTTTGTTTTATATATTTTGCCATTGGAAATGCCAGCCAATCTTTACACTTTGTGAACATTTTATGACAAATCGACCAATGGAAAAAGTCTATTATTTGGACCAATAGAAATGGTCCAGTACTTGGACTAATAGGAACACTCTATTATTCGGACCAATAGAAGTGATCCATTAGTTGAATCAATAGAAACAGTCAATTACTTGGAACAATAGAAGTGATTCATTAGTTGAACCAATAGAAACAGTCCACTACTTAGAACAATAGAAGTGATTCATTAGTTGAACCAATAGAAACAGTCCACTACTTAGAACAATTGAAGTGATTCATTAGTTGAACCAATAGAAATAGGCCAATACTTGGACCAATAGAAATGATCCATTATTTGACCCAATAGAAACAGTCAATTACTTGGAACAATAGAAGTGATCCATTACTTGAACCAATAGACACAGTATGTTACTTGGACCAATAGAAGTGATGCATTATTTGACCCAATAGACACAGTATGTTATTTGGACCAATAGAAGTGATGCATTATTTGAACAGTCCACAACTTGGACCAATAGAAACTTGGAATGATCATTTTTTCTCTTCTCCTGTATTGGTGCCATTTCTAAGAGGTACTTCTATCGCTCTTAAAAATAAAGGTGTCAAAAGTAAAGGGTTCCCTGCATGATACCACAGAAGAAACACTTTTAATTCCCTAAAACGTTCAGTGGATGATTCTTTTGAGAACCATTTTCATAAATGAGATATAAAGGTTCTAATAATAACTCCTAAATTGGTGTAGCACCTTTACCTTATGAGAAGATTCTTCATGCTCTCAAATAATTTTTCAAACATGGTTCTTTAAGTAACCAAAGGTGCTTCTCCTGTGGCATCACTCAAAGAACTCAAAGAAGAGTGAAGTTTATTTTTAAAGAAAAAATATTAAACATGTAAATATTTATTACAGTACTATCTTGGGAATAATGTCAAGCATTTTATCCCCTTTTTTGTGATGTCTGCACTCATCGGCACTCAAACCTTTCTGCTGTTTAAATCACCTTTAGACCAAGAAAGTTCCGCTTTATCAATGTGTGCTTTTAACGACAGTTTGGAAAAGTCATTATTTAGAAATAATCCACTGCAAGCGACTTTAATGAACATGAAGTTGAGTGTTGCAGAATAAATCCAAAGTATTAGCAGACCTTGGTATTAGCAAAAAAAAAAAAAAGTTACCAAACTTTTTTGGACAGTGTGCATCCCGACCTGGTTTGAACTCTGTACAGGGCATTCACGTTTTGAAACTTGCTTTGATGGTCCCAGTGGAGAGGCTTACTGAGCATCCATTAGCGTCTCATTCACTACTGTCCAGTTCCTGCCTCAGACACAGAGATGAAGAGAGACCCCCTGAAAGTATCAGAGTTCCCCTCAATAACTGCCAAAACAAATTGTGATATTGTATTGCATCATCCTGAAAAATAAAATGAGCCGGTATCTCCTCTGAGCCTAAAAATATTTTTCCATGATCTGTAGAGGGTGCTCGAAGCTGAGGAAAATGGGGACGGTTTCCATGACGATGAGGACTTTGAAGTGGACACACCGAAGAGGAAGCAGCGAAACAAAGGCAGGGTGAGTGACGCGGCACATCAAAGCAAGACAACATGGACAAGTAACGCCATGACAAGAACAGAGGAAAGAACAGAACAGAAAACACATCCTGCATTTAACCCTGAAAGGTCAAGAGTTATTACTGCTATACTATTGAAATATAATTACATAGTTACTGCATTAATTTGATTTGAATCTGTATCAGCAGCTTTGAATCTATGCTTCTGACATTTGTCATAAAATGACAAAAACGTCAGAAATGTAAAAAATCCTTTGGGGTGATATAGACTTCTATTACATTATCCTCATAGCTTGACCGCAAAGCTAAAGAAGCACTTCTGACACTAGACATATCATGGCCATTTGTCTACATTTGAGTTAATGGGGAAATTGTAAAAATTTGATTTTGTTTTGAGTTCAAATATAATAACATATATCAAAAGCAAGTTTAGAATCTGCTCTTTTGACAGAATTTCTCTGCTTGTTTCAATGAGCTGCAAGTGTGAAATAAATCATTAGCCCATGCTTTTATTATTGCTGATGATAACACATCTGTTACCTGCTGTGTTGCTCAGAGCCGGGGCTCCGGCCGCAGGAGGGCTGAGGCAGTGGCCAGTGATGACCAGGACAAGCCCTACGTGTGTGACAGTAAGGACCACCTCATTACGCTGAACAAAACCAGTGTGACTCCATCACCTTCAGCAATTCCAGACGGCAGGCAGCTAGTTCTCCGCACACTAGGGCTGCACCATATGGCCAAAAGACTAGTGTTGTGGTTATTTTACGACATATTGCAATTGTGATTCACCCCACAATATGAATCATCAGTGTAACATATTTCCGAGTGAAACACAGTATCAGTGAGGGTCTCTAAACTAGCTGGGCATTTTCACTCAGTGATGGGGGTGGCAGAGGAGGAGGTACAACATATTATTAATATATTAATATATTTTTCTCCACCTGCTGGTGCATGGTGATGTAATCAAAGCACAGAAGATGTTTGAGCTGAGCAAATGTCATTACATTTTCATTCTGAAGACTCTGGAAATATGATGATGATAGTTTATGGTAAATCATGCTTAAGTCTTTCAGGCAGATCCAGAAGTAATTGCTGTTTCTGCTCTTTAATCAGCATTTTTCTGTTAATAATGTGATTTTTCAGTGCTGTCATTACACATATCTCCATTTTTGTCATGGGTTTTTTTTTTACATAATTTGAAAATGATAGCTACATATATTGCTGTTGACCAATAGCAATGGTCCAAAATTACTTAGAAATTAATCTTTTTACATTAACTTCCATTAAAAGTTAAGAACATTTTTCCTTATTAAACAAATCCATAATAAGCTCAAAGTGCATCCAGCAAATTGGGAAGGCTCATGCATCTTTTAAACAGTGATAGAAAACATGACATGTTAAAGATCAGCCCAAGTTATTTTGGCCCAAAAAATAAATATTTACTTTTGTTAGATTACATAAATACCTTGATTCATCAAAAATAGCCACAGGAATTCATCTGAAACTATGACTGGTCATGTGCTTACAGGACACAGTAAAACATTGATTAGTTTGCAGGCTCTTTTGCGTATTGAGGCCTTCTTTTATATCAGTATTGAAAAGGCCAAATGCTATATTGTGCAGCCCTAACGCAACAAGATGCAAGTACATTATATAGGTCACAAGCTCATTGGTTTACTTTTTAAACCACAAAAATGCATTTATCATGTGTAATCCTTTATTCCAGTGAGTTCATATATGTACTCCTTATGTGCCTTGTATTTCTCAGTCGCAGGGCATTAGTGTGGGTTTCTTTAACCTTGTTAACCTATTTCAGCTCTATTAACAACCCAGAAAACTTCAAAGTCCTCTGCAGTATGAAGATTGGCTTGTGTTGTGCCTCAGAGTAATGCTGCAGCCTGTGTTTTCCATTTCAGCATGGACAGTAGGCCTGCGTGGTCTTTGGTCTTTTGTACTCTCAAAAGCATGTACCTACTCGGAAGAAAAACGAAAAAAGCTTTGGGTTCCAGAAACATCTTTGAATGAAACTTGTTTTGTCTTCTTGTCTCTTCTTTTGCTTTGTGTCTTCTCTATTCCAGACAGATACAAACAAAAGCATAACTCAAAAACTGCTGACTCAGGTATATGGCCATGTTGCCATCTTCCTCTTGCTTGGACTTAAGGGCTGCACGAATGACAAGGCTTACCAAGGCTGTCCGCTAATCAGGAGGGCTTAACGTTAACCAGCCGAAACTAAGCTAATCCCGCGCTCTGCATTGTTTCCTGCTTGGCTAATGCTAGCATGCATGGCTAACAACATTCGGTTTCTTTATGCTAATGGCTTTACTGAATATGAGGTCATGGGCAGTGAGTACAGAGCTTGCCTTTAACACTTCTGCTATGCTGCCACTACTTTTGACCCCACCAAGAAATTTGCCTCACTGGTGACATGCATGCATTGACTTCCCTTTTCCATTCAATCTTATGTTATGCCTTCCATGATGCCTTCGTCCATTTTATATGATTTAGCATCTGTAGAGTTCATACGTAGGTGCCAGTCAGAGTGCAGCCCAGCCAGTGTGGCACTCCAGTCCAGTAGTCACCTGTAGTTTTGGTGTATTACAGATTACTGTAGGCTGTTTAATCCTGTGCTACAGTGGGAAGCCCAATATCTAAAGACATAAAGTGATGCAAATTCACTTGATTCAAATGCATACATGATTTCGACATGTGTAAAATTGGTGGTGTCAAAGTTAATTTTTTCACGACACTAATTTTCTTAGTTTGTTGCTTCAAACATCTGCAGTTCCACTGATCGGCTGTTGTATATGTATGTTTTTATATTTCAGTTTCTATTTATTTTTATTTAGAAATTTAAAAAAGCTAAAAAATAATGCCAAATGTCAAAAAAGGTAATTTGACTGAGGGTGTTTAAATTATTGCATACGACTGTAAATTGGAAGTTCTATTTATTGTGGCTGTCTTGATAAAACCAAAGATTTTCCAGCTACTGTCATTTTGTGAATTTGTTTATCACTAAAGTACATCTAGTCTTTTTTGTCATTTACAAGCAAAACAAAGCACCAATGCAGCAATATCAGTAATATCTGTAATCTGGCAGACTGCACTGGTCAGTGCTTGCAGGAGAGAAACTAACAAAAGCAATAGCAAAGATAGAGTTCTCCTCAATACAAGAAGTAATGTAGTATGATAGAGTGGCTACAATGTGCATCCACTGCTGCTCTCACTGAATGTTGGCAATAAAAATTAGAAACTGTGTTCACCCATTTTCATGTTTCCACTGCATTCGTAAGATTTTTTATTTTGGTTTAGTTCAATTGAACCCTGCTTTCAGGTCATGAAAATAATTTTATGAAGTTATTGAAAGTAATAGATACCTTCTTACAAAGCTTATTTTGTCCAATCAAATAGCTGCAACAAAATACACTGCTTTTAAATGGAGCAAAAAACATATTAGAACAAATAATACATGTAATTAATTGTGATTAACTACAGAAATGGATGTGATTAATCAAAATTTGCCAAAAGTGGGTAAACACTGGGTAAACAAAAGTGGGACAACATTGTTATTGATGTAATTTTACACATGTGGAAATGAAGTACACATTTGAATCAATTAAATGCATCACTTTTTTCAGTATATGTAATTCACACACAAAAAAAATTGTTTTCACTCTGAAAGTGAACTCTGTCAGTGCTTGTAATGTAGTTAATCAACAGATGAATCTGATGTTTCTCTGCTTCTTGAAAACAACAACAACCAACTGCACACCAAATCCAATTTCTACAATCTAATAATGTAACAGCTTGCATCTATCAGGTTTGATTAAGCAGGTACTGTACGTATTAGGGGGTAACTTTACCATAGAGTTGAAAAGTTAAGGCAGGTGAGATTGTATGCCTAATGTACTACATCCTGTATGTTATATTACAAATTTCCCTAAACGAAGCTCTTTGTGTTATGCTCAAAATCCTGTGTTACTGGCACATGGATCTAAATCAGCATGGGCGGCCTGATATCAAGGTGATGGGCCGACAGCAATTACACATTTTGATGTCTGTTGTGCTGATACAGAAATCTTTGACTTCAGTTAAGTTGCAGTATAAATAATGCACTCCCTGTGTTACTACTGTTTAAGCTGCTTAGAGTTCAGCCACAAATGTGTGTGCTCAGCTGAAGCATACACTGTTTACTGCATACGTTACATAAAGTCAAACTGAGAATGCTACATAATATACATTAGACTAAGATTAGCAGTGAACTAATGCACTATAGATGATTACAAATTACTTGGCTCTAGAAAACAAAAAGTGCTAACAGTAAAGTACTGTACTTAAAGGGGAATTCCACCAGACTTACAAAATTTCTGCATAATTCAACTGTTGAGATGTTAATAAATTCAGTTGGAGTGGTTTGATGTGAGATGGTTCATTGTAAAGAAACAATTCTTTACAGTGTTGATGATAGAAAACTGAGGTTGTGATGTCTACGTCACAAATATAGCCATTTTACTTACTATCCAAAAGCACCAGTGAATACTTGTGTCTTTTGAGTGTTTATATGTAATGTTGATAACAGAGAATTAGTGGTAAATCTGAAAAAAAAAAAATTCCTTGAAGACTGTTTTGCCCAACTGCCTGCACGTACCCCTCTACCATGAATAAATCTTAAAAATGTTTTGGCTTTTGTGGTCAAAATTGATTCTCAAAACCATTTAGATATAAAGGCATTAAATGCCTCAGACATCTGGTTCCTATTACCGCCACTGTGAACAATTTGATTTTGGGCATTCAGCTGATTTATCAAGATTTCAATATTACATTGAGATGTAAACAAAGTCATTCAGAGTGGTCTGATGTGAAATAGTTAATTCGCTTGCCGAATCTAATTTCATTGCAATGATGATAGGAACCAGGGGTTGTAATGTGTACTATACAAATATAGCCATTTTATGTACAATCCAAAACCAGCAGGGAACCTGCACATCTTCTGAGTTTGTATATGTAACATGGATGCTGTTAAAATAGTGGTAAATAGTGGTGCCTTACCACAACCTGAATGTACCTCTCTGCCATGAATTAATTTTAAGAAATACGTTTTAGGCCAAAAGCTCATTTTACAACTATCATAAAACAATGTTTCAGGCATCAGGCAACATATTCATAACTATTTCATGTAAAAACATTCTGTATGGTAGCTTTTAAGGGTATTAAACACTTCAAACGTCTGGTTCCCATCACCAACATTATGAGCAATTCTGGCTGAGAAAGTTCTCTAGAACAGAGCATTATATTTTTAAAATGTTGGTGGAATTCTCCTTTAAATCCTATTTCATTATACAGAAATTTTTGAAACATCAGTGGAAGTCTTTGGATGAATCCTAGTATTTAACTAATAGCAATATGGCGGTATTTATTTATGCTCATCTAACACTGATATGATACCTATTCATCCCTACCAGGCAGAATGTACCATTAAGTAGTTTAGTTCTAGCATGTGATGTGCTCACTTCAGAATTGTATTGCTATTATTTTATCTGCAGCATAATCCTGGCATAGTTCTGTGTGCTTGCCCTGTAGTCTGTGTGTTAGCATCTTAGGCCCAGCTGCCCTGTAGATTCTGTGAGCTTTTTAGTATCCCAGCTCGAATAGGAGTGTACTGTTGCACTGATCTCAGATCAGATTGTTTTGTTATTGTGACATTGCTCCTTCTTCGTTGTAGTTTGTGGTAAGCGTTATAAGAACCGGCCGGGTCTGAGCTATCACTACACCCACACACACCTGGCTGAGGAGGAGGGAGAGGAGGAGAGAGAAACGGAAATTCCACAGTCGCCGCCCGAGCACAACCCCGAAAACCATAAACGTAAGATGACTGCCAACCTGGCATTATTATACACTGTATCTGCCCAAACATGCCACATGCATAGTGAAGTATATACTGCTTTTGTTTTTTAACATTGTGTACAAGATGTGCTACTATGCTCCAAAGAATCAATACTTTGTACCTATTAATCTTTTTGCAGACACCTACCATTAATAATTTTATAAAGCAGCTAAAAATATTTATTTAGGTTAACGTTTTACTAGCAATTCCTGTTCCTTTTTCCTTTTTATATACACTAATGTCCAAAACTTACTATAATTGTTTGAAAGCTTCAATGCACACAAATGCACATCTTCAAGCCGGAGGGCTCCAGTGCTACTCCTGGAGAGCCACCATCCAACACACCTGACTTAATTTCTTTAAAATTCTGAGAGATACTGCTTTAGAAAACTTCAACTTGATTTGCAAATATATTAGTTACAAAATGTCTGTGAGAAAGAGGACAGATACATAAAAGAAAGACACACAAATGTTTGTCCCACTAATATTTCAGTCCTTTACTTGCCTTACTTAATTTTTCAGATAATAGCTGGAATCATTTTGAGTTTCAGTTTTTAATTGTGGCTGTTGTTGAGTGTTATAACATTTCTGATGGATACAAAAAATAATTGATAACTTTAACTTGGAAAATAATAAGTAAACAAGACATATAGTGTATTCAGAGTATGTCCCAGGACTGTGTGTGAAATCAGTTTGGTTTCAGATAAATTTATAAAGTGGATTCACTGTGCAACTTCATAGCTTTTAAATAATTATAAGGAATTAATTATAGAAATAATTATAGAAATCTGTCAAAAAATAAAGAAACTTTAGATGTGTCCAGAATGATGGACAGAGCTGTAGATGAGTCTAAAATGACTGAGAAAGTTATAATACATTTAACATACAGAATGCCTCATGTTAGAAAAGAGGTCATCATATCTTGAAGACAATTTAAATACATTATTGTAAATAGATAATTACAGGATAGAATTTACAGGACTGAACAAGTCAAATATGAAATAAAATATAAAAGTCTTCTTGCATATAACATAGAACAAATGATTAATACACCAAGTGATCACAAACTTTTAATGGTAATTTGATAGACTGAATGTTTGAGTGTGTTTTGTTGCCTTTTATCTCTTTACTATTTTATTTACCCTGTTCCATTTACATACATCATGAAGCACTCTGACCCATGTATCATATTATATGTATTAATGCATTATTATTACTGAAATATTCATCTTTCTGGCCTTTTCTGTCCCTGTAGCCCAAAAGGGACCAGATGGTGCAATCATCCCCAATGATTACTGTGACTTCTGCCTGGGGGACTCGGGCTCTAACAGAAAGACGGGCCAGGCTGAGGAGTTAGTGTCCTGTTCCGACTGTGGACGCTCTGGTCAGTACCTCTGGGATCCATTACACTCTAAAACTGCCCTACTCACCTTGCCTCATCATCTCACCAACATCTGAGGAGTAAAACTACTGCTACATCAAGCAGCTTATCTTCACCTCCATCTTTTCCTTTTCCATCTTTTTGGCAAAAAATACTGCTTATCTCTTTTCAATATAAATAACTGTCCAGACTGTTTTTAGATTCATTTTAGTCTTTGAAGAATGAAATCTAGATGTTGCAGTCATATGCAAAAGTTTGAACACATAGTAAAAAATAAGGCCAATACATCCCTTACAGAGAACGAACTAAATATGACATTTTCTTTTTATTTGCTGAGTGTAACATATTGGAATAAATAAAACAAAGTATAAAATGTGCCATAACTTTTGAACAGGCCACATTTCATTTTTCCCTACATGTTAAATTCAACAGTAATTGTGCATTAAACTGTGTGTTCTCTGTAGAGGATGTGTTCACTTATTTTCACAAAATTAACAAAACATGTCATTTGACCAGGGGTGTTCAAACTTTTGCAAAAAACTGTACATGCAGATCAATGTGAATGACTTTTTGGCTGTGAAGTTAGAAATCACATTTCACAATCTTGTGATATATTTAAAAAAATATGTCTCAACCTATTATGCAGCATCTGTATTGTAAAATATTATATGAGATTATAGTGTATAGGGTAAAATAAAATGATCAATATAGTCATGTGGCTTCTAGGACAGGCCATATTAATATGTCATATTAATAAGCAAGGTCAGGCATTTAAAGAGAGAATATTGAATTAAGTAATTTAAATGTACCATGTATTCCATTTGTTTCAACATATTCTCATGTGGTGTATTTCATTATGTTTACCTTTTGTGCACATATACCATCAGCTCATAGTTTGAGTGCGTGTTTATTTTCTGGTATTTTACTGGGTTTAGCTAGTTGTGGTTTGGATTCTTGTTTCCCAGTGTTGGGGTAGTTGCTCCATTCTTCCCTCAAACTGTAATGGGATTACTTTATTGATTACTTCCTGGAAAGAGTAATCTCACTACTTATTACTTTACTTCTGTGTTACTCTCTAAAACCCAAACACATCTGTGCCACCTGTAAAGTACAATGGAAAATCAAATATTAATTTAGAAAGAAACAGCATGGTAAACATGATTTAAAAGGCACGCCACTATCCCTAACCAGGTTTAGCCAATTATGCTTTTTAACGTTATGAACAACTAATGCTGTTTGAAAACACAGGAACTAGCCGGTAGATACAGTTACAAATAGCTGAAGGTAAGAGAGGTGTTTCTGAATAGAAATTTACATTACTTTATGTACCAGGACAGGCATCAATAATCTGTACAAAGGAAATTTATGTTTCAAATGCATCATGTTAAATTAAAATGCCTCTTTTAGGGATAGTAAAGCAAGAAAAACATTTTCATGTGTGATTACAAAAATTAAGCTTGCTTGAATAAAACAACTTACTGTTATTCATTTTCTTCTTATTATTATTCTGCTTTAAAGCTAGAACCACAAAACTTTACAGGATCGTAGAACCAAATTGGTTGCTTGTGCTTTTTTAACTGATTACACCGGAATGAATTGGAGATTGATCAACATCCTGAAATTGAATCATTTCACTTATATAATATATAAAATGTTTATTATTCTACCTCTTCTTCCACCACAGTCAGTACACACTCAGGGGTATATATTTTTCTTGAACCCCCCTCTTATTTCACCATCGTACAAGTATGCTCACAAACCCTTAGCAACCACCTGGGACACCAAAGCAACAGCCTTGCAACACCTTAGCAACCACCTAACAACAACCAAGCAACACCCTAAAAACAAGCTGGAATATCATAGCAACCTCATATCAACATCAGAGCAACTACATGGGATTGCTATATAAACCCATTTAAGTTATCAAAAACAATCAACAGTGTTTTGCAACTGATTTAACTTTTGAAACATTACCAGCTGCCTTTGTCAAGCCACCTTAACAATCTTTCCCTTTTTAGTTTAAACTGTAATGCATTACACTACTTTTTTACAGGAAAAGGTTATTACTGTGATATGTTATTTGTACCACATTACCCCCCAACACTGATGTTTAGAGTAACATTAATTTTCTCAATTTTTTAAAGCATTAGTAATATGGCAAATGTTGAGCACTATAAATACATTGTGATATTAACATCTATTAGTCTCTTATGTGTAATGCTGATCTAACAGTGAGGTTAAAAAGCAGCTACGAAAGCTAGATTTTGCCAGTCATTTTACAAAAGTAATATTTATTAGAGATAGTGTACTGCTTGATCGTTTTAGCAACCAGCAAAACCTGTGTCTGTGTTGGAAAACACTCAGTGGTTGCAGTTGGACATCAAATCTCATTACATTGTGACAGGAGATTTGTTCAACTTGGCTGTTGACTTTATTGTCTGGTAATTTATTGTCTGGTACAAATCTGGTGGACGTTCATGAAGAGCTCTTTTCTGTTTTGTTAAGTTAGGAGGAGTTTAGGGCCTCATCACTTTACCTCAGTTCATGTGCTCCACAAAATGTTCTTATTCTATTTTTCTTTCTCATATTTTGCACATTTTACGTTTCTTCCTTCTGATGTCCTTTAGATATGTCACTCATTCTCAAACGATTTTCCTGCTTATGGGTGAAATACGTAACTAGCACAGACAGAGAGAGAGACAATTAATTATGTTGAAAGACATAAAAACGCTTGGCAACATAAGGAAAGTGAATATAATCTTACTGGAATTACATCTTATGCAACTGGAAATACATAAAATTGAGGACATATTTAAAAAGCAGCACATTCATGGCCTCTGTATTTCCGTTTAAAGGAAATAGCAAAAAAACTAAATTGATCCCTAAAGTAACTTAACTGGTCATATGTCAGGCTGCCTCTGTTGTATTGCCAGTTGTCCAAGCTGAGAGGAATGTGTGAAGCCTAGCTGACTGCAGTGTTGCTTGTGTATGTGTTCTGCTGTGATGCTGATGTGTCCGTCATACATGTCAGCTGGACGTGCGAGAGAGCCGGGGATGAAGAAGAGGCCGGCTGGACTTCGGGACATGTTCGCCGACACATCCGAAAGTGAGGCATCCACCTTTCACGGCTTTGAGGAGGACGAGCTTGATGGGCTTCTATCAGACGACAGCAGTGGCCCTCCCCAGTACAGATAGATAGAAGAGAAAAAGCAGAGAACCAGCCTCAAGGAAGGATTTGCTACACTGTTTTTCAGTGTGCATAATGGACTTCAGCGCTAATGGAACTATTGGAACTAACGGCTCATGGTTTTCTCTGGAACCTTAGTGGTGTTGCTTTTACAGCCTTCTTGTACAGCCTCTCTTTGAGCAATAAGGAGAATGGGGGCAGGGTGTAGAATACAATTTTTTGGCAGAGATGCGTGCAAAAAGGAATCAAAACTAAAAACAGAAATAAACAAAAATAAAGGACAACTTCCAAACGTGGGCAACTTCAAAAGGACACATTATGTGTCCATAAGAGACAATGTGTGAGCTCCTACCACCGAATAAATGCAGTTGATGAGAAGGAACAGATCACAAGACTTGGCAGACCAGGCAAGTCTGAGAAGATGTTACCACGGCGACTTGGATACGCTGACCTATTGGAAGGCAGAAAGAAGCGAGGGAGGACAGTTAGCCGAGAGGTAAGAGCCAATCGGCGTTTACCTTTCCATCTCTCGACTAACAGGGCCGATCGTTCCCTCTGCAGGACATGCGAATCCTCGTCTCTCTAATGTGTGCTGCTGGCCACCTGGCAGGGGAAAAATGGAAAGAATGAGTGGCATTCAGTGGACACTTTGTGTGTGAAACATCAATTTCCTTTACATGAACTGGGTTTTACCTTCTCAATTTGTAGCCATTTTAAGGTAGGCACTGCGGGTGACTGTGAATCACACAGTCTAACAAGAGTCTCTCAGAAGTGCTAATTAACTGCAATAGCTTTAAATAGAGTTTATCATCATATTATGAAACCTATAATCTGTTAAAGGAGTTGGATTTGAGGTTTATCACAGGTCTAAGCCAGCAGTATTGGATTTGTTGCTTCTCTTAAAGTGACAGCTGTCTTCAGTTGTAATGGCAAATGTTCAGTAACAGTGCTTTTTATTCTGCCTTTGTTTGAGTATTTCTTGCACTCTTTACAAACTGTCATTGTTTTTACTTTGTTTATATCGAACACAACGAAATACAAAGCCTGTTATTTAGCTCAGTAGTTGTCAAGCTGGTCCTCAGAGACACCCAGATGGTCCACATATCTGCTTGATGTTTTGAGCAAAAATGTGAAATATCTGGGGTTTCAGAGGAATGATTTGAGAACCACTAATTTAGCTGTTTCTACGTCTTGTTTTTTTAGCATAAAAGTTTGCCTTTCGGTCTAAGCAATGCTGCACACTGAAATCACAGTGTATTTTGCTAATCAAGGGCACTTTTGTGGTAGCAGCTGGGCCTTGTTGCTTTCCATGCTTGGATTAGCTCTTCAAACCACAAGAATTGCTGAAACATTGTATTTGTTTATTGGCTGCATTGTTGCAGTGCTGATAACTGGCTTACTGCTTTCAACAGTTCCTTACTTTGGCTTTTAAGTCAATAGCTGGACGCACAGAAATGGAAACAATGAGATCCAGCTACTGAGTTTGTTTTGTTCCAGACAAATTTTGCAACAGCTTTCAGGGTATTTTGAAAATGAACAGAACATGATCAGACAGCTTTGCTCTGTAAGTCCACAATCTGTCTACTGTAAATGTCAAAGAGAGCTGTAAGACAGGATGTCTATGAGGAAACAATACAGGGCCATTTGTTAACTAAGATTCCTGTTCAGCTGTTGTTCAAGTACAGTTTTAGCATGAGTGACAGCCAAACCATTTCATCTGTCTTAGAAGATAAGTAGCCAAAACATAAAGGGAGACTTATTTCTTACTTAACATTTCTAAAGCTGACAGACAGGCGTGTGAATATTGTTCAGATTTGTTTATTTGACAAGAGAAATGTAACTGAGCAGGTGGAAGCTTCCCACAGAGAGAGAGCTACACACATACTCTGCACACACATCACACCCTGCATGATTTCTGTACAGGGAGCCATAAGCAGCTTTACTGGTTACTCAAGCAGGAATAAACGCAGCAAGCAGGCCAAAGAATGGACAGTTGTATACATTGTTGCAGTTAAAGCAAGAGATTAAGCAAACTTTGATGGGGGGCGGGGACTAGGAATATGTAACCACCTGGCTTTTTTTGTCTGTCTGTGTACATCTTACCTATCTACAGCTGTTGGCAAAAGCTTAAAAACCTCTGGTCAAATTACATGTTTATTGATCTTCTGAGTTAAAATCAGTTAACACGTCATCTACAGGCCACAGGCAACAAACTATAGATGATATGAGAATTCTGCAATTTTTTAGTGCAAAATTTCTATTTATTTGCTGAGTTTAGCATATTGGAAGAACATAAAACATACAATATAATCAGTCATCAATATTTATATGTCAAAATAGATATTCAGTAGTTATGATGATGTAGAAAACATTTCCATTTATTTAGTTATCTAAAAAATAAATATTTGCTTGCTGTTTCAATTTCTAAAGTGACTTTTTCCAACGAACAAGTCATGATTGTAAAGGACGATCAAAATGATCAGTGTCTGATAAATTTACATTTAAAATGTTTATTCAACAACAATGATAGGAAATCTTTCTCTGTCTTAATTTCATTTCTGTATTGTTGTTAGATATTAAACTTCCGTTTCTCTCTCTCTCTCTCTCTGTCTCTCTCTCTCTCTCTCTCTCTCTCTCTCTCTCTCTCTCTCTGTCTCTCTCTCTCTCTCTCTCTCTAGGCCACCCCACCTGCCTTCAGTTCACAGACAACATGATGCAGGCTGTGCGGACCTACCAGTGGCAGTGCATTGAGTGCAAATCCTGCAGTCTGTGTGGCACCTCGGAGAACGATGTAAGAGATTTTAGCCTAACACATTAATATCATAACATAACCATCACGGACTGGCACAGTATATGGAAAAAAACAGAATTATAAGACACTTAATGGATACTATTTTAAACCAAAATCTAATTTGTACTTTGTTACATGTCAAGCGGTGTAAATCTCTGACCTTATAATGATTTGATGCATTTGTGACTCTTTATGAAGTGATTCAGTGCTTAATGAAATCTCAGATTTCACCGGGACTTGATTTGGTTATTGTTCTACTGTCCAGAATTATTTTACAATATACCGAATGCACAAATATGACCTGAAGAACTATTTACACAATAGTGGAATACAGATGAAGAAATCTTTAAAAAAAATTATAATTTATCATTACTATTGATTATAATTGATTATAAGAGAGGATCCCAAACCTTTGCAACTTGTAGCCCACACAGCTGACCACAAAAGGTTCCTCGACCCACAAAAAATGATTTAACTGGCCTGATCGTTGAAAATGCAGACAAATATAAAATACAATATAATCAATGTTGCCTATTGAATTTCACTTGATTGTATAATCACAAGCACCACAAAAAATCTAATAAACAAATCTAATCTAATAAATAAAGAGAGAAACATTTTACATGCGTTTTACATTTTTGCACTGAAAATATAAACATAGCTCTGTTGATTAGGTCAAGTATTTTACCAAAATACTTTTTTACAAATAATTATCACAAGAATAATTCCTGTTTAAAATGATGTTTGGTCAAATGTCTTTGTTTTTTAACAAAGTTTTGCAGTTAAAAAAACTGAATGTCTCTCCTGCAGGATCAGCTCCTCTTCTGTGATGACTGTGATCGGGGTTACCATATGTACTGCCTCAAGCCTCCCATGACTGAGCCTCCTGAGGGTAAGATCACAACATACCTGCATACACTTCTTGACTTGTCCAAAGCATTATGTGTTTCAGCAGGACATCCAGGTCAGGAACAGGATAGACTTGAGGATAGAAATTCTGATCGGTTGTGTTTAACTTGCATAATTGAAGAACAGTTTTTATACCACTTTGTCAAGTCTCTGTCATTGCATTGTACTGTAAAATGTAATTCGATATACATTGAGTTTATTAGTTTATTAGTTACACCTGTGTTGTGCTTATTGGCCATTTTATCAGGTACACCTACCATATAAGTTGTGTAGCTAGGGGAGGGAAAATAATCGATTCTTAGAAGCATTATGATTCTATCTTTATTTTAATTAATTCACAAAGTCATAATCAGATGTTTATTTAGGCTTTGCATTTCCCCTGCTGTATAAAATTAATAAACAAACTTACACACAACCAGAGGCTTTATAAAGTTCAATATTTTGCCGCAGCCCTGCTTGGAGGAGGAAAATAATGCAGGGTCTAACTAATGCAATGCATGTGTGTCTGTGGTGACAAACTGGCCCCAAATTCCATGTATATACAGTAAAAGGCTCAAAACCAAAAATATCAAATGAAAAAAGATTTTTTACTATTAATTTTTTGTCCTTTGTGTAGAGTACAGGCTATGTTTAAACTCATCTAGGCTGAACTACTTGTTTAAAACAAATACATAAATACAGGAAAAGAAGTAATCAAGCAGGGTATAGAAGTCAAAAGTAAAGATGCATCGAGAATCATTTTAGAAGCATGTCTTGGCAACCTGAATTGAAATTGAATCAAATTGTCAGGAGTCTCGAGATTCTTACACTCAATACCAACATGCCACCACTGTGTCAGTGTCACTATTGTGGTGAGAATAGTTAATCAGTCAAATAATATCTGGTCGAGGGTAGTCCTTTATCCAGTAACAGATGGGGCAGGGGGGCTGATGAATTGTGCAGCAACAGATGGGCTACAGTCAGCAACTGCAAAGCTACAAAGTACACCTATATGGTAAATGTTTCTGATAAAATGGCCAGTGAGTGTAGGTGCAAAGTAGGCAGACCTGATAAAGTAGCAATTCAGTATATACCTTTTATAAACACACACACACACACATTATATATATGTGTGTATATATATATATATATATAATGAACATAGGCATTTGTATGGAATCCATGAATTCATTCTGCCTTTCACTGCATTTGCAGGAAGCTGGAGTTGTCATCTTTGTCTGGATCTACTAAAGGACAAAGCGTCTGCTTTTGGAGAACCATCAATGGTGTAATTTTTTTTTTAATTCTTCCATATCCCTCACAGCCTCACTAGCACACACAGCACAGAGCAGAATCAGGACGGGGACACATACCTGTATCTCTCCACTTTGCAGCTCCAAGTTGAAGTGGCATAGGGACAGTCTACCTCTGTAACGTTCACTCGTCTACACAGCACAAAGTAATACACAGTCAGACACTTCAGTCATATGACCAACGAGCAGTCTACCTCGCAAACTCAGTCCAAAAGCAGGGTCATTTACGCCACGGTATCTTTGGTAAAGTGGAAGAAAACAAGTCATGCCGAGCAGCACAATGATGCATCCACGTAAAAATTATTCAGGTTTTTGTAGAACAATCATTTCTGTCAAACTCTTTTAAAGAGCACCAAAAAGGAGTATGAGTGAGACTGATGGAATACAAGCTAATTTTATAATTCAGTTCACTTTATCGTGTTTCTTTCAAAGCAGGCACCTGTACATTCCTCTTGGTCTGTATGATAAATGACAAAGACTGTTAATTACTCTAATTATTCAGAGACTACATCTTTGCACAGTTTGTAGCAAAATGCCACTTCTGCCTAAGTTACATAGCAAAACAGCCTCTTACAGTATTCCACAGTCATTATACTTCGTTCATCCCCCTTTGGTAACACTTTACTTGTACACTGCTACAAAACCTTGAAGTAAACATGCCATAAACATGTCATGAAAGATGCCATATGCTGTCAGAAATTGTCATGACAGGTTATGTTCGAGAGGCCATGAGAGTCTGTGTATATATATATATATATATATATATATATATATATGCATATATACACATATATTTATTTAGCATAAAGCCTCTTGAACCAAGCAAATGGCATTTTCCAGAGCTGGAGCTCCCTACATAGTTCACTAGTTTAAAATACTGGCTCCTGCACCCAAGCAGTGCATAATATAGCTAAAAAAGAGTCATTTGGGATTCAGCCACATGTACACAATTCCATACTGGATAGATGGGTGGACTGTTTGTAGAAGCCAGAATTTCTCAACTTACATGGCCCGTTATGTAGGAAAGGAGGAGCTGTTTGAAAGTCAGCCTGGGTGCGGTGCTACTTAAGGCAGATTTAAGTTGTTCTTCAGTTGTTGTGAGACATGAAGTACTGATTGCAATAGTAGCAGTATTAGTAGTAGTAGTAGTAGTACCACTACTACTACTACTACTACTACTACTACTAATAATAATAATAATAATAATAATAATAATGAAGAGCTGAACTTTAAAATGACTTGAACATAATAAGGCCCTAGAGATGCTAGTTTTAGAGTGGATTTATTCATTTATACATTTTCAGTACCTGTAATAGCTGTGCACTGTTCAAGTAAACTATGTATATTTGTTACAGAGAACCGAATCCTGTCAGTTATTTGTGTATATTGTCTCTCGCTACATTATTCCATGTCATGGCATATTCTGTTTGCTTTAAATGATAAAAAAAGAAAGTGCAAAATAGGCAAATGCTTTTTCATGACATCACTGTTCACATCACATATATGCTGCTTAAGTTTTCAGCAGCCCAATTTAAAACAGCTTCCAGCTTCACTGGGCTCGTCCAATCCGATTTTAGGACCGGAACTATCTGCATTATAATACATGTTTAAAAACAGTGTCATATTACCGTTGCCACTAATTGTCGTGACAGATGTCATAATGTTTGATGTCATGGCAGCTTACATCACATACTAATTTTTGCTGTGTAATCTAGTTAGTCATCATGGCATCAGACATTATCACGTCATGATTAATCACTGGTAATAGTGAGATAACAGGGTTATATTGCTGGACATAATCAGACTTCTGCCATGACATGTATATGCCACGGTTATGTCAACGTTACTTAGCAGGGTTCAAGTAAAGCGCTACCCACATTTCTATGTTTCTATTTCTGTATATTTAAACAAAAAAACATTTCATCATGAGAGCGAAGAATTATAGTACAAGATACAAGATTTCTCACAAAGAACTATTCAGCTTACACTGAGTGACTGCTATGAAAAAAATGTGAGTAGAAAAAAGGAGTTAGATGTAGGTAGATGTCTAGAACATTGGGTTATAGAACACTATGTGAATGCAATCATGAAATCAGCAAAAAAGTATTTGGCTACTTTAAAAAAATGTATTTAATGCTATATAGAGCTCCTATAACTTTGTCAAGACTGGAACAAAACGTTTTTGTGTTTTTTCAGTGTATATCTTCCACAGACAATCATGATTTAGATTAGTTATGTATGTATGTTTTGCATATGTATGTATGTTTTGCATTATAGATATTAGACAGTTGTGCTTCCCCATGCCAAGAAAACCCACATATCTGTGTACACAATGTTTCCTTCTAAATCCTGAGCTTTTATTTGTTTCCATATGTATTTTTATGTGAAAACAGCTGACTGTTTAACGTGTATGTTGTTGCTTGCATTGAAATGAACATTTTAGGAGAAATTTCCACTTGTTCCTCGTAAGTGTTTGACTAATTGGTTTGTTCAGAAAACATTCCACTGTGTGAGTCACTCTAGAAAGTTCTGTAGCCACCTCCTCTCTTTTGTAGGGGAAAAGGCACTCAAAAGTTTAACACCTTGCAGAGTGAAACATCTGCTTGCTCCATTTTGTATTTCTTTGTTCATGATATATTAGCATCTCTATTTCCATCTGGATATTCTCGCTTGCTGCCTCTCTTCCCTCCTACGGTCTGTATAATGCATTAGAGGCTCTATTTTCAGAGCCAATTTATCAAGGCAAATGCTGCAAATCCTCAGATCTGCTGAATATTTCATCTGACTCTGGCAAGGGCTGTCTACATTGATCCTAGTGAACAAAGAGCTTCCGGAGATGTTCTGATCAGATGTCATGGTAAGTCAGGAAATGTGGATGAATATACAAATTTGGAGGAAAGAAAAACAAGCAGATGATTCTCTTTAAATTAGACTTGATTTACTGTTTGTGTAATTAGTTTTTTTCCCTCTCATATGTTGTTAACAAATCCTTGTTGTTTCATTGTTTTAAGTATAATAAATGGTTCAAAGTTAACTGAAAATTGTGCTTGCTTTGATAAGTTGATCATGAATGTAGTTACACTTCTCATATCTAACACTAGAGGTCAGCACATACAAAGGCAAACTTCACAGAAGTACCTTAGACTTCTAATGAACTTCACAAAAACATTTCCAGACATTTCAGATAAACCTATTATAATGGATGTAAAGCATTTGTACTGAAGGCTAATTACTTTGAGTGGTTAATTAATTAAACACAACAGAGCCTTTCAAGCAGCAATGGGCGCACTACTACGCATGTAATTTCAGTTTAACTTGACTGTTAATTCATTTGGTCAGATCTATAACTTATAGAGAGTACAGTGGCATAAATACAGGCCATGCAGATTGGGCAATAGCACTGGGGCCTGTAGTTCAGGGGGACCCCATGGCAACTGAACCCCTTAATATTCTTAAATGGACACTTTATATCATTACTTTTACAGTTTTTCTTGTTACTCGTGGGAACAGTGGCATAACTACTTGTGGGAAGAGGGGCTTTCGCACTGGGGCTCATGCCTAAAGTCTTTATTAGGCTCCTCATAAGGACACAATAGTAGACCCATGATCTAATTATTTAACATACAGTTAAACATTTGAACACCTCTTTTCAAATGTTTCTTTGATGTATTCTGAAAATAAGTTCACACATCCTCTGCAGGGAACACACTCAAATATAACAATTTTCAGCTAAATTTTCATGTACAATTTCTATTTATTTACTAAGTTTAAGATTTTTAACAAAAAAGGTGTCCTAACTTTTGCACAGGCAACATTTTGTTTTCTGTGTGTTAAATTCAACAAATAAACAGTAGTTTTGTATTAGAAATGTGCAGAAGTGTTGTATGAGTTAACTTATTTTCACTTACAAAATCAACAAAACATGGAATTTGACCCAATTTGGGAGGCCCAAACTTTTGCATACAACTGTACCTCACCAGTTAGCTTCCTTCAATGCTACACAGACAGTACTGACATCTTATTCATAATGCATCTCATCCATCATAACCCGCAACATGAAAAATGTATTATTTATAAGCCTATAACAGTGGTCCTCAAACCTGGTCCTGGAGAGCTTCCTTCCTGCAGAGTTTAGTTTTAACCTGCATCCAATAAGCTGCCCTGCCCCTTATTTAACTCTAATACATTTGATCCAGGGACTCGGGAAGAGGTTGATTAGCTGGAGCAGGTTTGACAAATTATGGCTGGAAATAGGCTCTGTAGGAAGGTGGCTCTCCAGGACCAGGGTTGGACACCACTGGTCTAAAATCATACATAGTCTAACACAGGGGTGCCCAATCCTAGTCCTGGAGATCTACCACCCTGGAGAGTTCAGATCCAACACGTCTGGTTCTCATATTCAGAGGTCCCTGAAGGCCTTCATTACCTGCATCAGGTGTGTTAGATCAGGGACAGAGCTGCAGAGTGGTAGATCTCGAAGACCAGGATTGAGTACCCCTGGTCTAACATAAACATTTAGGTTAACTTTAGATAGTTAGTTAGGAAGTGTGTTGAGAGGCATGCCTTGAGAGCCTCACCATGTTTAAAGGAGCAAAATGTAAGATACATGCAATCTGTTGAATTCATACTCTACACAGTCCCTCCTCTCTCTTCACTCCTCCCCCTGTTTACTTACCAGTCTAGAAGAAACGTTGCAAGTTCAGCATCAAACTTCATCCCTATACTTGTCAAGAGCTGCCTCCAGCAGTGAAAGCAACACCAATGTTAACTCTTGTTTTGCTTCTATTTATGTAACTTCTTTTCTTTGTGGTTTTTTTGCTGGGAGCAGGCAGTACTACTTCCTCCCATGGTGGACCAGACACATTATAAAGGCTTTGGTTGATCTGATGGCAGACTCAATGCTACAGTTTGCCAAAACCTTTCTCTTTCTTAGTTTGGGTGGTCCTAATTGTAGTGCATTACCCTTACTAATCATAAAGCTGATGTTGCCACTCCTGTCTGTATAGCTTAAACAAACTGTTTTCCTACAGTCTCTCTGTTTGAGTCAGAATTATTTATTATTTAACAATGAGTAAAAGCTAACCTCATCTCTCTGCCTGCCTATGCACCTGTTTATTCATCTGTCATCCAGCCACACCAGCAGTCCCTTGGCGCACATTCAACAGTAAAGTGAATATGAATCTTCTGTAAAATGTTGTCATACACTCCTCTTTTGATGTTAGGATGTCAGTATGGTTCTATATTGCACCTAAAAGGGTTCTGCTATTGTCACAAGCTTGACATCTATATAGAACCATTTTTAAAAAGGTGCTATATTAAAGCAATAAGCCACGAGAGGCCTTGCGTTACTGCGATTTTGTCGTGGGGGAGGGTGTCCTTACCCAGCAAACAGTTACGTTGTGACAACATTATGACAACCTATTGTTTTGGTGCCCACAACATTGTGACAAGTTTGATAGTAGTTCCTCAGGAAGTTGTGACAGCCTTATCTGACAACATTGTGACAACACAGTGGCCACATTGTCAGTATGATGTCACAACCTCATTGTGTTATTTCATGGAACTTCATGGAATATTGCTAAGTTGTCAACAGGTAGTCATAATACCACACAGCAGTGTTACTTAATAATAAGGCTGTGACAATGTTTGAGAATCTTGTTCAGACAACATAAACAGCACCACCTGTAGACAACATTGTGACAATGTTCCGTGTTTGCTGGGATATCTGACCAGCCTAGTTCTAGTTTAAGCCCCTCAGTTGAAACAAAAAGCGGTTCTTTATATATATCAATATACTTGGTGGTCCATGCAAGCAGCATTACAGTCAAAGATTATTCCATTAACAGCACAAGGATTTGAACGCAGCTCAGCCAATCAGATTTTAGGACTGGAACTATCCATTTTATAAAGAACCATATACTATTCTATATAGCATCAAAAAGAGTTCTACTGTTATGATATCAAGCTTGTTTTCAAAAAGGTTCTATAGAGAATCATATACAGCACCTTCTCCATCAATCTGAAAAAAAAAAACATTTCACTATGCAAACAACCATTTAAGCATGCAAATGGTTCTTTGAATGTTCATGGATCTATATAGAACCATTGCATTTACTAAATAACCCTAGAACCATCTTTTTTAAGGGTGCATAAAAGCTAAGTGCCCAGATAGTGAGCATATATCGGTACACTGGCTTGATAAGCACCCTGCTGACTGTTTGTCACTGCTTGTCCACCTTTGGACCACCCAGATTATTTTACTGTGTAAAATGTGTAACTAGTTTTTAATCTCCTCAAACAGATTTGAAATGCTCACAGCCTTTATTTTGTAAAATAATCTGAGAGAAATATTACAATTGCAAGAAAAAAAAATAATGACTACGTCTAATATAAAATGATTTTGTTAAAAATGTTATTGCTGACAAATGTATTAGATTAAATTATTTACTAAACTAATTTAAGGATAATGAAAGAAAGAAATGCAGGAAAAGAGGTTTATTAGACTGTGAGTGTAAAATAAGCGATTAAAAGTGGCATTCTGTCTAATACTCTACTTAACCACCAGTGGGCCGCCTAGAAAACCCTGAGCAAACAGTCAGTCGACCTCCAGTTTTGCCATTAGCGGGCCAACACTGGCCCACTGTATTCTTGCTATTGGGGTGGATACAGAGGGCATACACTGTGTCCAAAACCACCCTAATATACCACCCATACTACACTAATGAATGGACTTCTGTTGGTGGTTAACAATTTTTGACATACACTTTTGAAAAAAATGGTTCTTTATGGGTTCTTTAGTAAAGAAAATGGTTCTATGTAGAACCATTAACACTCAGAGAACCCTTTGCATGACTAAAGGGTTCTTTGCATCATGAAAGTGTTCTTCAGATTGATTAAATTGATAGATGGTCCTACATATAACCTTTTTGAAAAGTGGTCTATATAGCACCAAAAATAGATCTTCTATCGTTATGATGTCAAGCTTGTAACAATACAAGGACCCTTTTAGTGCTATATAGAACCCTTTTCAAAAAGGTTCTATGTAGAACCATCTACAGCACATTCTCCATTAATCTGAAGAACGCTTTCGTGATGCTACATAGAATCATTTTCTTTACTAAAGAACCCTTGAAGAACCATCTTTTTTAAGAGTGTAGTTATGCCTCTCAGGAAGCATGTTTTAGACTAACAATACAATAACAATAAGCAAGAACCCAAGAAGAAAATCAGAACTCTCCAAATAGATACTGAATATTTATTAGTTTACTCTGGACGTCACGTCCTTCTATTCATCATCGTGATTCACTAATACTCATTTTTATCTTTGAAAAAACTAAAAGCTGTAAAGAAATATCATTTAGAAATATCCCATGCATAGTTTTGTGCTTCTTTTCAGCACTTGTGCCTCTAATTATATACTCACTCTCAAACTTCTTCTACACAGCGTTCTCTATATGCGGAGTGGCTGCAATACGTATACAAACATACACTTTCCACCGCTTCAGTCTAAATACACTGTCAACAAAGCAGTTCTAGCTGGAAACACAAGAAGAAAACACGTTCCGTAGTGTCTCTCGGCCAACCGCCTGGCAGTCCATGAGCTGATTATTGACCAGTAAGGGCTTTAGAGGGTCTGTAGTTTCTTTTATATGCATTTCTGGCAGTGCTACACAACGTTCCACAAGTGGCAGCAATAGCGAGCAGTCCAGGTCCAGCAGATTGAATGAGGCAATGCTGAAAACCTAAATGTCCACAAGCCTGGACAGTCTCTGCTGTAAGTAAAGGACTTTGTCCTTAATTGCGGTCCTCTGTGTGTGCAGACCATCTTTGGAGGGGTGAAATATAATATACGTGTGTTTTATCACCTTCATAATACTACTCTTGAAGCATACATCTTTAACATTCAGACTATATTTACATTTTCATTTGGGCAGGCAAGCTAGATGAATACACTTAACATGGACCAGCTACATCTGTGGTTTTGACACATATATAGTTCTACATTAGGTTTAGGTAGATTACTTCTCTTTTTAGTTCATAGCTAAGATGCTTTGTATAAAAAAATATTCATGAATAAACCCTTCAAACTTGTTCATTTTACTACAAATCCTATTTCCGGAGAAGTTGGGATGTACATGAAATACAAATAAAACCAAAAGCAGTGACTTGTAAATCCATTTTGACCTGTATTTGAATGAAAACAGTATAAAGACAATATTTGTAATGTTATACCTTATTAACTTCATTGTTTTTTTGTAAATATATGCATTCTGAAATTAATAGCTGCAACATGTTCCAAAAAAGTTGGGACAGAAGCAATTTAAAACTGGGAATGTTGTTAAATGTTCAAAAAACACCTTAAACAGGTGGTACAATATGCCCATGTTTGGGAATACTTTGACAAACCATGGTCAGTAAGCACAGTTTATTAATGCATCCACAATTACAAGACTATACTTTGCAAAATGTAAGCCATATGTCAACAATATCCAGAAGCGCCACTGACTCGCTCGACTCGAGCTTACCTGGAATGGACTGATGCACCGTGGAGATGTATTGTGGTCTCACAAGTCAACCTTTCAGATAATTTCTGGAAAAATATACATTGCTTTCTTCGGACCAAGGAAGAAAGGTACCAACCAATTGTTACCAGCATACCAGCATAGCCAGGGTCTGTCATGGTGTGGGGTATGTGGTGGGTAATTTGCACATCTGTGAAGGCACCATTAAAGCTGAGGGGTACATATCCATTTTGGGGCAACACTGATGTCCTTTTCTGGGATGTTCCTGTTTGTTTCAGCAAGAAAACACCAAGCCACATTCTGCATGTGTTACAACAGCATGGCTGTGCAATTAGAGAAAGCAGGTGTTAGACTGACCTGCCTGCAGTCCAGACCTGTCTCCCACTGAAAACGTGTGCCGCATAATAAGCACAAAATATGTCAACCAAGGCCCTGTATGGTTGCATAGGTGAAGACTTGAAGAATGGCATAAACTCCGCAAAACTAGATAATATGGGGTCTTTAGTCCCCAAATAATTATGAAGTGCTGTTAAGGAAAGGTGGTGGTAAACATTCTCCAGTCCCAACTTTTTTGCAACATGTTAAAGTTTGCAATGAGCATAAATATTTAGAAAAAATATATAAAGTTAGATAAAACATAAAACATTGTGTTTCATACTGTTTTCAATTTAATACAGGTCAAACAGAATTTCCCAATCACTGCTTTCTGATTTTATTAGCATGTCACAGACTGTAATCTTTTTTGGAACTGAGGTTTATACACCCGCAAATGTCAGTAGGAGAATTTATCACGTGTTTGGTTATTGTACTAAAAAGTGTTAATCCGTCAGCGAGATTGACTGGGACAGTCATAGTCATACCCATGTGCTCCTTGCACATCTCTGCTCAGGAATTTCATAATGTAGCAAAACCTGCAACAACATTGTACATTGTATATTGTTTCCATGAACTGTGAAGAAGAAGAAGGTTCAAATCAGACTGTCGATCAGAATCCAGCTAGGTTGAACTGCATCCATTAACACTTCAAACAGCTTTTCTTACAAACACAATACAGTCATATCAAAACTGTGCAAACCTTGCCAAGAGTACACAGAGACGAGGAGCCCTTGCTACTTTTTTCTCTTCTTTTGGAATGTTCTGCAGCCTAGAAGGCACACGTCCCTATGGACCATCCACTCGCACCACCATCCGCTCACATACTGGCTTAGCATATCACCACTCTTCACATCTCCAGTCATGAAAAAGTTGATGAACTGGGGGTAGAGGCTATTTTAAATGGCAATCAATGCAGTGGGTGTTCATTCCCACCATCACTGCTGGTAAGAAATATCAAATAAACACATGGTAATCCTGGAAGTAAAAATCTGACATTCATATGTGCAGTCATTGTAGCTGAATCAAAGGTTGTATATAATTGGTTAAATACAGATGACACTGTCCCCGTTTGTAAGGTTTTCTTTGACTTATTGCATGCCATCTAGAGTCCATAGCTGCACTGTCAGGATAGCTAGCAGCTGGTCCATATGTTGGCTGAGTAGATGACTACAGTCATACTACGTCCACCCCAGCAGACCGCAGCTCCTCTGGGCTTGGCTGGGTTAGTCCAGTCCCAGGCCTCGTCAGGAGGATTGCATGAGGCCTGTCAGGCGCTTCCCCGTCAGAGACTTACCCTGGAAAGACAAGAAACAGTGAGCAATACTGAGACAATATCCATCCAGGTAAATGCAAATGAAATGTTTTCACTGACCAAAAAGTACAAGGGATGCAAATTTTGGCAAATTCTTTTTACTGATAACCAACCATTATTAGGGATACATATGTATGTATGTTTGTATGTATGTATAGTCTGACCAGAGCTAGCTTAAAGTGCATATGCATACTTTATACAACAATCAACGTAAATTCGGTAACTTGTGACTTTTAAATTTTTTTGCATAACAAGGCTATTTTTGCATATGTATGCTATAGCTTAAGGCTCAACAGAAGCAACATGATGTTTGAAAGAGGGTCAGTTGTAGCCTACCTTAGCACTGTGTCATGTGGGTAAATGTCCTAAATGTCATTTTTGCTGAGAAATGCCAAAATGTTCACATCAGCAGCAGATACTTTTCGATTACAACGCGCCTGAGGGTCAGGTCAGCTCTTGGTCAATGATTAAAAAAGCATGGAATTCATCATATCAGTGTGATGATAACTGACTCTAGAAAACCTAGATTTATGCACCACTAAGTAAGGCTTCAGACACAGTTTGTTTTCTTGCGTTCTCATGCATACGATTCAAAAACGCCTGGATGGTCAGCAAGTTAAATGAAAAAACCTGACTATTCAATTATCAGTTGTTTATCGGAAATTTTTTAATGGAGAGCACTGGTCGAGCATTTACGTATTTGTCGGTTATCGGTTAATTAGTTAATCATTAATATCCCTAACAAGTACAATACAAGTTCTGAGAGTGTGGAAGTGACATTAACATGGATAAAATACATTTAATTTCTTTTTCAAGAGATAACAGCTGTTTTTGTACCATTTTCCCACAAAACTACACAAAAACAAAAAGCCTGTGATAAAAAGATCAAATCCACCTGAGAGCCGCCTGAACACGAGCTTCAGTGGACATGGTCAGTGTTACAAATTTGCCTAAATTACAATAGTGACCAAGAAGTAGCATAATGACTCAGAAATTTGTTAGAATTTTTTTTTACTTGAATAAACATCGTTGTTTTGGTTGTTGACAAAATTACTCAATTGTAAAATTTGATTTGATCTTCAAAAAATGTACATTAACATAAGTTCTTGCTTATGCCTGAAGAGCTTTCAGTCTACTTCATTCTGCAACTAACAACAAATTATTCTGTTGCATCATCAGGTTCAGAACAGGTTCAGGTCCACTCACCACACTGCGGGTGAATTTCTCCAGAGAGGTGCGACGGCCTTGTTCACTTTCAGGCTGTAGAGAAGGTACACAGACAGCAAGCGTCACTCAAGTCACCTTATAATCAACATCCTACTTTTTGAAGGATAATAAAGGGATATTCATAAATGAAGGCTTGTAACTTCTTTATTCTTATACATCATCAAATACTAAAACTCCAATTTCTCATTTATTAAATTATGAGTTCTCTGCTGTATGACAAATTCTAAAGCATCTCTGCTCACTGTTCTTAACTGATTATCAAATATAATATCTTTTGGCTATAAAGTAGAGGTTATAAATCTCCATAAATAAATCTCCCTTGGTTTAGAGTAGCCTGGCCACTAGTGAAGTGTATAAAGGATTATGGGACAGGGAGATGTTTGGGTACGGGTCTAAAGCTTTCACACTGGCAGAGATATGAATTGTAAATTCTGTGTTATAACATGAATTCTGTTCTGAACCGTTGCATGCTTTCTCTCCAGAAGACAAAGCAGAAACCTAAAAAATCTTGTGTGTCCCAAAAATGATGCTTGCAGGCATGAAAGCTTGCATCAGAATTCTGCAAACGCTAGCCTTCATATCCCTCCCCCGGGGCATGCGGATTCTGGGTGAAATGAAACTGAGGTTTTGACGCACCTTCTTTCTGGCCAGCAGGAGGTCCTGGTACGTGCTGGAGCGCAAGAAGCGGGTGTAGCTATCGCTTTTCATGAGCTTGTAGATGTGGTCCTGAGAATGAGAAGATAAAAAAGGCTTACTTTGGGGCCGATAGGTCTCTCAGGGAATGGGGATGGATTTTGTGCAGGTATTTTGAGTTCAAATTTTATAATAAAGGGAAAGTTTTTCCTCTCAGAACTTGTAGCAGAGGAAGAGAAACAGTAAACCTCAGAGAGTCATTTGTTAAGACAATCATGGGCTATTCCAGTTCATTAATTGGCTGATATGTAAGCAAGTTTCTCTTAAAGGGAATATGTCTTTGTCTGAAAATATGCTGATACAGAAATATATTGAGCCCAAAGAGGCAGCAGGTAAACTGTGCATTGTTTTGGGAAAGAAACCTAAGCGGTGCAATCATGCAGCTAATTTCTCAGCCCAAGAATAAACCCAAATATTTTTCATCTTTGACATGGTTTACTCTCTATCTGACAAAGTAATATGCACTGCCAAATGTCACTGCTAAACAAAAAATCCCAGAATGCAGAGGAGAAAGGAAGGTTATGAACCAGTTTGCACAATTTGCACCACCACACAGTATGCAGAGTATGCAGACACCTCAACATCACATCCACATGTGCTTTTGAAAATCTCATTCCAAAACCAAAGGCATTAATATAGTTTATCCCTCCTTTACTGCTACAACAGTTTCCACTCTTCTGAGAAGCCTCCAGATTTTGTAACATGCTTTAGAGATTCACCTTTATTTAATCAAATAATCAGCAGTAAGGTTTGGCACTGATGTTGGGTGATGAGGCCTGCCTCAGTGTTCCAGTTCATCCCAATCTATGTTCATGGGGGTTGAGGTCAGGTTGTGTGCAGGCCAGTCAAGTTCTTCAACACCAAATTCGGCAAACTATTTCTTTATGGAGCTCCCTTTGTGCTCAGTGGTATACTGTCATACTGAAACAAGAAAGGGCCCCAAACTGTTGATCTCTTACTGATCTCAGTAATCTCAGTATTGCCAGTGTTTGTCTAAGAAGATTGCATAGCTGTATGTTTGTTTTTGATTTTTACACAATTGCTGTTGTGGTCTGACAAATTAAATACATCTAAGAAAATGGAAGTGTCATAGGGTTGGTTGGCTCACTTTGCACCATGCTATTTATTACTAGCACCAATGTGAAACCTAAGCCAAATTTCTAACCTTCCCACATGCAGTATGCCAATGTTTTACATATTTATATATTTTTTAATAAAAAGTGTCTGTTCTTACCCACTAATGCAGCTGTCCTTTGCTTGCCATGCAAGCATACATGTAGTGAAGTCTAGCCTAATATACTGTACTTATAATTGGTAGATTTATTTAATATGTAGTTATATGTCAATATATTTAAGTAGTTGTTTACTCTTATTACATTTGTATTTAAAATGTAGCTTAATATGTCATTTAATTAGCACACTGCTCTTCAACTTACAATCAAGAAATGCAAATCACCCTAGTTTGCTTTAACTGTGGGCCTGTTTCTCTGACAGATTATGACTATTTCTGGATAAATTTCAGTCAAGAATCAAAGGGAAACAGGTTTTTTTTCTGCATCAAGAATACAAAATCAAAGAACACTGAATATGTAATGATGGGTTTTAGTGAGAGAGGCAGGCTCATACAAGCTGAAGTGTCTCCAGAAGATCCTGAAAGTGTGTAACAAGACCTATACACTCTTAATGCACTCACACCATTCTGAGGATGCTTTCCTTTCATTTACCAAAACGCTGAAGAAAACAGTCTGTAGCTCAGGCTGTCCTTAAGTGCTGTTGACACTCGAAAGCCACTTTTAATGATCAACAACTGATTTGTTTCTGCTGAATTCAAAAGACCACAAACTACTATCTGTCAAAACCTAAAGATTTGTTTTTTAAATATCTCTAATGTGCAAACCATTTGTCACTTTATCCCATTAACAGAGAGGGAAAGAATGGTTAATTCTGCCTTTTAAGTGGTTTTCTTATTAAAGCGGCATATTAAAATTTATTACAAGTCGGCCTGTAAATCCTGAAATACAAAGTTAAAAGTCAAAGGCATTTGGTCGGATTTCGCGAGAGATTTTCAGACCACATCCATGGTGCAAAGTATAGAGGGTTCTGGGGGGTCTTGGGCCTCTAATTAACCTCTTGGATCCCCTGAATGTCTTAAAATCAAAATTGTGGGGCATCCCTGAAAATAATTATTTATTTTAAAGCATTGCTTATTATGATGTTATGCTGTTATTGTTTAGCTTGCTTCACCCACAACCAGCAAGATTCTGTCCTTGGTATTCTTGATGATCTAGAGATGTGCAGATGCAGTACTGGTCTGCTTCAGGGTGGTGCTGTAGCAAATTGGTTTACCCATTTGGTCCTTCATAGCCTCGCAACTGTTACTACGCCTGGGATGCCTCTGAAAATCTTTACAATATGCTGTAGTGTAATTTTACATCTGAATACTTGCTCAATTTTCTCAAGAGCCTGGTGGAAAGAGTGAATTGTTGCTCACTTCTCAAACTGAAGACAAAAGAGAAGATGTGTAAGATCTCAGTTAATGAGTGGAAGAGCACATTACCAAACTAGAGCTTTTTCAGAAGAATTTGTTAAACCAAACATTTTTCTCGCACACCACATGTTTAGGTCTCAAATGTAAAATCAACAGCATACTGATGGAGATACGATCACAATAGTAGATAATTCATTCACATCCTCAGAAGACATGTCCTTCATGACATGACTACATGACCTTTGACTGAGTTTTCTCTGAATACACTATCAAAGTGCTTGAAGTCATCAGATTCATCTGCTCATTACAAAAATTACACTACATAATGCTCTTCTGCATGATGCATGCAATTACACATTCCCACCAAAGAGGGCTACAAATCTCCAAAATGTACACAGTGTAGCTTTAAGTAACACAATCTCAAATTCTGTCCACGCATCTAGTTTTGAAGAAAGTTACAAACAAAGCTGAAAATTCATAGATTTTATCATTAGGTATAATGTTGAGCAAGCAAATGCGTGCAATATTAACTTTTTAACAATGTATGTACTTTAACAACATATCGAATGTACATTTAAATATTACCAACTACTTGCCAAAAGGTATTTTTAGTCATTTTATTCAATATTTCATGTATTTTGTGAACAAGAAGTTATGATGAATAAATATCTGTATTTTATACTGTATTTATCTATTTACATTCATTTTTTGTCAAGCTGACCACCTTGAGATTTACAATGAATTCAGGATATTAATATTATGATGTAATTCTCCATGCTATAGTTTTTTCAGTCAAATTAGAATCTTCTAACACTCTATTCATCATGACAGAGTGATGAGATAAAATGTCTTAATTTTTATTTACAGCTTACTAGTATCCTAATAATTATTTGAAACCTGAGAGTTGCACAGGACTCACATATTAAAATCACTTTTATACACTGACCTGTAACCAAATTGGCCTCATAACCAATAAAAACAGGGATTCCAAACTTTTGAATGGTAGTGTCCTTCAGATTTCAATCACTTGTTATTGTTACTGTGATTTAACAACTGTTTTTGAATGCATGCCTGCACTTCTGCATTTGCATTGCTTTACCCAGTGTGTCAGAGAAGTTAGACTAAATGGATAATAAGGTAAAAATGTTCTCTCAAAGTGTAGATGCTGGTTTCTATCCCACTATGAAGCCTGCATTAGGAGGCTACAATACTACAGGTTCCTAAACTTTGGAATTATCTTTAACGACTCAGGTGTAACCTCTAAGAACCAAATCATGCCTTGCCAACATGATTTATTTTGTTCTCTGCAGTAAATGTGGTCAGTGAAATAGACTTGCCTGGGCATCCTCAAAGCTGTAGCGGCCAGGGTCTTTGAGGTTCTGGCTGGTGCGCTCGTAACTGTGTGAGTCCAGGTTGATGGAGCTGGGAGCACCTTCAGCCAGAAACTCCTGCCAGATCTCCTGAGCGCGGACTGGCACGTCCTGCAGGGGGCGCCGCTTCAAATCCTGCACCGCCAACCAAAATCTAAGAAGACAACACCACTCAGGTTAGATTACCAAAGCCCTGACACATGTTCTCAACATATCTCTTACATACAGGTAATGTCCACTCATTAAAGGAGTAGCCAAAGTAACCAAAGAAATCTAATTTACAAAATTTTCACTTCCACTTACCCCAGTTCTAGCTGATCAGTCAAGACATGCTTAGGTTACAAATTTTGCTTCTTTGGTTTTGAACTGGAGCTGCAAGGCTAACATTGCTAACAACCACTAGAACTTTTTAGTCATCTAAACAATCCATTTGTATAAAAATACATCACCAAAACATCTCTTAACAGGCTCATACCACAGTCAGGTCTTTTTAAGGTTGCGCAGACTTGTCAATGTGATTTAGAGCTGAGTTTGACTGTAATCTATAAAAATGAACAAAACCTTGTTGGATAGCTGAATGCTACAAGCAGCCTTTTTAAACAACAGGGTCTTTATTCACAAACCACCTAAAGAGAATGAGTGCTGATCTAGAATCAGCTTTTGTGCAATGACTGTCATAAATAAAGAGAAATTTGTTCCAAGATCAGTCCTGTTTTGTGAGTACAGCCCTGGTGTTGTTTAAAATGGCTGCCTGTGCCAGTGATGTTCATTTTTATAGTTCACAGTAAGTCACACGGTGTCCTAAACCATATGTCATAAAAACAAAGTTTGTGTGACCTTATTGAAGAGCTGGGTGTGGTTTTGGGTTGAGAGGAGTTTTGATGATGTATTTTTTTTTTTTCAGAAATGGTGACTTTTGGGTTTAGGTGATTATTGAGTGTTAGCAATGTTAGCCTCATAGTTGCAGCTGTAAATTAATGGCGCAAACTTTGACTATGGCTGGGGTAAGTGGTAACTTGGGTTTATTTATATTTATTTATTTATTTATTTATTTATGCATTTATGCCAAACTGTTTCTTTAAATAATGCATCCAAGTTCCTTAAAGTACATAATTTTTTCTACATGAATATAAAATATATCATCAACACTCTACATGCCAAAGATCTGTAAAGACAAAATTGTGTTAATCTAATATATTTTACTTATATAGAAATGGTCACCAACCCTCCTCCTGAAACTTTACTTATTTAACATGCTGCACCCCTTCACCAAGCACTAATGCCTCTGATCCAGCCAATTCACAACCTCTGATGCAGGTCATTTGGTGGAACTAGATTTCCAGAAGCTTTATTTAAGCTTTATTAAGTACTATCCCATTGTAAACTTCACAAATTATGTTGTAACTTCATTATCTGGTGTTGCCACTAAGGAACTTTTAGATAGATGGTTCTTTAGAGCAGCATGTTTGGAAAAGAGATTTGGAGGTGTAAAGCACTTTTTAAATGTTTGAAGACCTTTATAATAATGGTGCTTCAAGGGATTCTTCCTTCAGCCTTTACATTTTATGGAAGCACTTAAAAAAGGAAACCATGTGGTTCTTCTATGGGAGAGGTCTTCAAAACCAGATCTTTAGTCCAGGTTCCAGTCCTATATTCTCCCATTACTGTACAAAGAATAGTTGGTGCACACTTATCGGTAGCATGTTTTGCAAACTAACTGTATTAAATCCTTAGCAAAGTGGTTATAAATAATAAATTACTTTACTGAATAAAAGTAAAGAGAAACAAGCAGAATAACATTCATATAAATAATTTTTTGCCTGAAAATTTTATTATTTTAAATAAATCCTAGGCCTGACCCGAACTTTAGAATTAAAAAATACAAATTAAAAATATGTCAATGGGCTTTTCCTGGTAAAATTAGGGATATATAAACAAATGATTAAATATAAACTACATGTACTACATGCACAGCATAATGGAACCCTGGAACACTACTTGACATCGCCAGAGTGGTACTTTTTCCATTAGTGCACTCATAAACCACAAAGCTAAGTTGTGTAGAGAACATCCCGTACTCACGACGAGGAGAGAGAGAGGAGGCAAAATGTTCAATTTCTCCCTCTGTCCTCACATAACACTCCACTGTATCTCTATTGATCTCAGCCGAGGCAGCAATATTGAAGCATTTTATGCTATTGAGGAGCCCCAGGGAGAGCCAGGCAGTCTAGAGTACATATCATATCCACTCGCCTCACAGTTTCATAAGTGGCATAGGCCTGCATAAGACAGCTCCCCTAGAAGCTATTAGATTGAGGCTAGGAGATAGGGCAGATAGTGGAGAGTGGAGACAGAAGGGTGGCTACAGACAGGCACCGTTTTATCTCTGCTGCAGTTGCTCCGAGGCTCCATGATCTCAGTGTTATCTCTATAGCTCACTTCAGGGCCTTCCTGTCCCAGGCAGGCCCCATTCACAGAGATCCGCTGATCCCTTCTGACCCACTAATGATCCTCTGTCACAGGCAGCAGCAAGGACAGTCGCCTGGTGAACACCAGAAGAGCTGTGTTTCCTATATCTGAATTCATTTAGCCCAGAGCTGCTTTGGTGACACGCAGGCGTTTAAATTGGGTCACAGTGCACCGGAGTAGAATTCAACCATCTCTAGTTTATGTAAACAGCTCCAGGAATATAGTTTGATTGATATAAATGTATGTCATTTCTAAAACAGTTCTCCAGCAAAGGTATTGTCACTTCAGTGAACTCAAGTAAATGGAAAAATACCTTTCCAAAAAAACAACTTGAGCAAAAGTACAAAGGTAAAAGTAAAAAAAATTGCTCACACAACACGTCCAAAACTTTACAGACACCTCCTAATCCAGTGTTTTGTCTGAAAACAAGGGTGTTAATAGCAAGTTTGTCTCCCCTTTGTATCAGTAACAGACTCTACTCTTCTGGGAAGGCTTGACAAATTAAAGTTAAAATTTTAATGAATGAAGAAACATGATGATTTGTACTGCATGACACAATTAAACAATTAACATCCTACCATGCTCTGCAGCATGTAGAAAATGCTGAGCTGGCTCAGGTGATGATGATTTTTGATCAAAAGGCAAAAGGAAAAGACCTACGTGACTTTGAAAGAGGGTTCATTATCAGAGCATGGATGGCAAGAGCTTCAGTCATGAATTCTACTCAACTGGCTCGTGTTTTTGTAGGAACAGTAGTTCATCTGTCACATCTGCATATTATATCTATAGGAAAGGTATCAGCGCACATTCAATGGACATGTTGCTCTTGAATTAGTGTGATGTGTTAGAATAAACAGAAGAGCAATTATTCCTCAGGTGACTGACAATGTCAAAACAGTATATCAGCAACTGTCCGTCCACAACTACTAGACTAGATAGGGATGTTATAGGTGGGTTGCACTGCATAAACTCCTCTTTTCAAAGACGAATGACCATTTGAGAGTTTAGTGGTGTAAAACCTGATCTACAGACCCTTCACCATATTCTCCACAAATGTGCGAGTGCATTTGTGGCATACGTTACAGGCCTGAAAGCTTGACCCCTATAGAGAGATGCTATGTGGATAGTTTTGCTAGCATAGTTGGTGTCCACCTGTGCACTCAGAGTTAAGGATCACTGCTAATCAATACAGTTATTCCGACTAATCATCTTTTTATTATGATAAATTATTTCTATCCTAATGGGGTCTTATCCAGGATGACATGAGGGGCATGGGGGGTTATAGAATTTGAAGGCCTATGAAAATGATGTAAATAATAAGTTGTGGCTTTCGCAGTCACCAGATCTCAGCCTAAATTAACACCTATAAGAGGTTTAGGTCCAACAGCACTCTCCACAACCATCATCATCAAAAGACCAGTTGAGGAAATATCTTTGGAAGAATGGTGTTCCATCCCTTCAGCATAGTTCCAGAGACTCCTAGGAACTGTGCCAAGGTGCACTGAAGCTGTTCTGGTACCTCGCGGTGGCCCAAAACTTTACTAAAACACTTTCATGACCCCGCTTACACCTCATCACTTCATGTGACCCATATCCAGATTGTATCCTGATAAGATGCATTTACACCTGGTAGTCAAATGTGTCTCAGGCTAGTTAGACTGCAATCCGGTTGCTGTGTGGGAAGGAATAAGTAAATCCACTTATTGCACAGCAACCAGTTACCAATTGTTTATCTGTTCAGCTTCTTCGTCTGCAGTTTGTGTAGCACAGTGATGTCTGACCATACTACTGTTAAGCATTTCATTTTGTGCGGTCCCCAACCATGTGCGTCCTTCATGATTATCTTCCTCGTAGAGGAAGGAGGAGTTTCGGTTGTACTGGGAGGCATGAAGTGACCAGGTGTAAACGGGGTCAAAGTAGGAAGAAGAAACACAAGCACAAGCAGAGATGCACTCAGAGAGGAAGAGATGAGCTTGGGCCTCACCGCAGGTTCTCCGAGCTGAACTCAGACTCAAGAAACTTAAGAAACTGGTCACGGCCCACTGGGTCCTTCAGAGCCTCATCCAGTGAAAAACCCCATTTCCTTACCCTCTGCTGGCTGGGGTCTTTACTGAGAGATCAACAAAGAGAATGAGAGAGAGAGTGAGTGAGAGAGTAGGTGAGTATGTTCTTATGTGACGGTAACAAAAATGCCAACACATAAATGGTATAACTATAAACGTCCACAATAGAGTGTATGTTTAATCTGCAATTGGCCAGGGCTCGCTGGCAGGCCCAAAGTTTTATTACACTTCTATAACCTAAGAATAACTCAACCAGTTTGCTTTGGAGTCCCTGTAGTTACTAAATTTCCTTACTACATAATGTGACAGTGCGATAATGTAGATAGATGTACAGTACAGTGGAAATAAGTAAAGTAATTTATCTGAGCTTTCATTTGTTCAGGAAACCCCAACATTAGAATTAATACAAATAAACAAATTAACTATACTTTGTGATTTTATGTGTGTGAATGTGCTTAATTTGCTACATTTGGCTACATTTGAAATATGATTAAATTGCTCTGGATAAGAGTGTCTGCCAAATGCATGAATGCACTGTAAATTTAAACTTAATCATTTCTTGAGAAAGCCCAGTGTTCCATCCACTTTTTATCAATCACAGTATTTATGTAATCACCTACTGGGAAATTCTACAGATTTTAAAACAATTCTGCGTAAGGTAATCATTACAATGTAAACATCATGACAAATCACAACAAATAGTTTGATGTTCTAAGAAACTTGCAAACCTAAATTTGTTCACAGTGGTGGTTATAGGAACCAAACATCTCAAGCATTCAATGCCTCTAAAAGCTTCCTCAAATTAAAAAAATCACACAACATGGTTACAAATATGATGCCTGGTGCTGAGACATTGTGTTACAAAGGTTGTGAAAGTTTTGGCCTAAAGCATATTTTTAAAATCCATTCATGGCAGAGAGGTACATGCAGAGTGTTGTAAGGCAAAACAGTCCCGAAGTAAAACGTATGTTTATCACTATTTTACCATTATCAAGTACACACATGCAGGTTCACTGGTCATTTTGGATAGTAAATAATACTATCCTATTGGCTTTATTTATGTCGTAAATGTCACAACCACTGGTTTCAAAGTCAGAGGGAAAAGCCCTGAAAGTAGAGATGTGAGGATAAAATGGGAAGAGAAACATGTTGGAAAGAGAATCAAACCTGGACTCCAGGTCCCAGAAAGTACAGTCATCACCGATCCAGGGGTTGGATGGCTCAGGGGGGCACACAAATGGGTCGTATTCCAGATACTGCTCTGTGTAGCTCATCAGCCTAAAGACAAACTCCACATCATCACCACTGTTACTCTCTGAGATGGACAGATCCAAAACCCTTAACCCTTAACCACATGTATGTTGATTATAAATATTCATGAATAACTCAAAACACTGATCTATCTAACACAACTTGATCTACAAACTGCCATGGAAGTGTAAAACAGTAAAAACATTTTATTGACAAAAACAAATGTAATATATTTTGCTCTATTCAGAAACATTCAAAGGTAGAGAGAGCTACTAGTAGGGTTATAAGTCAGGGCCTGACCAGTCTAAAGATTTTGTGGCCAATAGTAGTACTGATTTTAAGGGATTAAAATTCTACTCCACTGGCTTAAACATCAAGGTCTGCAGACAATGTAATATCAGTGATGCCACAACCAAAAAGGTTGCAAATTTTTCGCATTATTTTTGCTGACACAGAGAAAACTACAGGGCCATACTTTCGGCCAACTGATATATGAGTAGAGCCCACTGAAGATGGTGGTCTTTGGAATGGGGTCCAAAATCAATTTCTGTTCATATTTCAGACAGAGCAATGAGGCCATGAGCTACAAGTTACCCTAAGAATGCATACATACATACATACATACATCATCTAAACCGCTTATCCTTCTGGGTCGCGGAGGGGTGCTGGAGCCTATCCCAGCTGTTATTGGGCGGAAGGCAGGATACACCCTGGACAGGTCGCCAGTCCATCACAGGGCAGACAGACAGACATACACATTCACACACACACACACACTCACACTCACACCTAGGGGCAATTTAGCATGACCGGGTACTCCGGTTTCCTCCCACAGTCCAAAGACATGCAGTCAGGCCAGGCCTAAGAATGCATTTAAAAGTAAATACGAACAACATCAGAGTTTGACTCTTACACAAGTGAAACCAAATAAAAAATAAAGGACACAGTCTCTATACATCCAACCCTTCTGGAGGAAACTGCTGAATAAGAGCCTGCTGTATTGTGTTGGTGCAGTGGTTCAAGATGGTGCTGCTGATGAACAAAAGAAGAATGCAGATTCAAATATATCTCCCCTCCCATTCTAACCCCAACCAAAAAGTGATGAGGCAACAGTACTTCTTCGGAATGCTTAGAGAAAACAGCAAAGTCCAAAGTCTAAAATTCAACTTCCTCAACTCAGTCTATATATGGACCTGCATTCATACTGTACTTCAATATGTGCAACAGCACAGGAGGGAGGGAGAGAAAGAAAAAGAGAGAGAGAGAGAAAGAGAGAGAGAGAATATGAGAGAAAGAACATATGAGAGAGAGAGAGAATATGAGAGAGAGAGAGAGAGAGAGAGAGAGGAGAGAGAGAGAGAGAGAGACTATGCAGGGACACTAAGCTGTGAGGACTGTGTGCTGTTTGTGTAGAGAAGTTAAATGTTAAAAGTCTTCATCTGGAGTTCCTCTCACAGCTGTGGCTGTGTGTATTGATTAGCTGTAGAGAGCAGAAAGAGCTTTTAAGAGTTTCCTGAGCGAGGGATGAGCTGGGACCACGTGCCGCTGGGAGAGGAGAGGATTTTCTGCACACTCCTCTCTTTCTGCAGGAACCACTTTGTTCTTACTGCTGTTCAGGCCTGAAAAGTGTTGAGTAGATCAGAAAGTTCTGGGAAGTAGAAAATTCCACTTACGTTTCCGCTACTTTGGACATTTTCATACAGTGCCTGTCCAGCTGAGTGTTCAGGAATAGAATCTGCAAGATGGTGTAATGCATTTTAGCTTTTGTCACTTTACTTTAACATATCACTGCTGTAGTAAGTAAACCTCGTATCTCGAACACAGTAAGTTTATAGAAGTTCTGAACAGCCAGACTTGACTAGTGACTGAATACTTTACCTTATAAAATAGGACAATTATACAGAGCCCTGCTGGTGACATCTCACATAAATAAAATGAATGCATGGCCACGCCTTTTTAACACGTGGGAATGAGATCCTAATGCGTGGCCATGAGTTAGTAAGGCATAGAAATGAGATCATGCCTTATTAAGTCGTGGCCATGCATTAGGATCTCATTCCCATGCCTTACTAAATCGAGGCCACGCATTAGGACCTTGTTCCCATGCCTTACTAAGTCATGGCCACGTGTTATTTTCATTAATATGGGATGTCACCAGGAGGGCTCTGTAAAATGTTTCTAATTTATTCATTTATTTATTTTGAAAATGCTGGGTTTCATTGTGTGTAACTGCTTGGCTGTTTGTAATGCGCTGTTTACATAAAGAAGACTTATGAGCTTTTCTTACAACAGCGTGCATCACAAATTGCGTATATATTTATACAGTAAAGAAGAAATAACAGTGGTACACACACACACTCACACACACACACACACACACACACACACACACACACACACATATACACATACACACACACACATGCACACACACACACACACACACACACACTCACCTCTTTCTCTACGTCCTCTTTGGTGTCCTTCCTGCTGGGCTGCGGGTGTGTGTGTACAGGACTCTGTGTTTGTGTGTCTTCAGCCACTCCATACACTGACTACACACACACACACACACACACACACAGAAAGAGAAATAAATCACTATCATACTTTTCGCTCTCTCTCTCTCTTACACACACACACACCTCAGTGACCCAGTAACACACTGAACATTGGCTTTTCTGTTTGTGTGTGTTAGTTCCAGAGGTGGACAAAGTGCATGACTTCAGTCCTTTCAGTAAAAGTAGAAACACTCTTGGTGAAATGTAACTGGAGTCAAAATACTTAAGTATTTGGTTGCAAATGTACTTAAGTATCAAAAAATAAAAGCACTCTGAGTTATTGATGAGTATGTTGATAAATAAGTTCTTTTAGAAAATCTGTGTGACTGCAGACATGAACAGCTATGGCTGTGGGCAAACCTTTGGGCACCTCTGGCCAAAATACATATTTTGTTGCTTTTAAACAGAAGTAAATGTAAAAATAACTTCTTTGCAAATATTAAAACAGTTACTTTATATTCGATTGTTTTAAAATAGGAATTGTGGCATGTGCAAATATGTGGACACCCTACTACATCTGTACTTAGTCACACCCCCTTTGGCAGATATCACAGGTAGCAAAAGTTTTTTGTAGCCGGCTAGTAGTCGGCTCCTGTTTTAGGTATTGTCACCCACTCTTCCTTGCAGAACACTTGTAGATTTGCTAAACTCTTGGGCAATTTTGCATGAACAACATGTTTCAAATCTACCCAAGGTTTTCCCATGAAGTAGTTCATGATAAATTTTAAGGTATGTTTTGAATCATTGTCCTGTTGCAGACGCCAGCCCCGTTTCAGCTTCAGATTCTTCACAGACTGTGTCACATTTGCTTCCAGAATTTGCTGATATTTAATGGAATCCATTCTTCCATCTACCTGTACAATGTTTTCCGTGACACTGGCTGCCACACAACCCTCTGGCTTATGTAGATGTTGTTTTGCATACTTCAGAAATTGACTTTTGTGATGAGGCCGCAGATGATCTTTCAATTTAATGACTCCGATTAATTGATTTTTTCTATCATCGATAACTTTTTATGGCCTCTCTCTGCTTTATAGGCATAAATTAGCTTCATTTTTAGATCCTCAGCCAGTTGCTTCGAGGAGGCTGTGTTTGTTGAGCGTAACCACAAAGTTTGAAGAGTCAGAGAATTTATTACACCCTGAAATTGTCATCAGCTGACAATACTTAATGTTAATTCTTGATCTGCCTAACCAGTACTAACCAGAGTCAGTTAAGGCCTTACCAGTTAATTAAGTTCTGAGACTACAAATGGGAGGGTGCACAAACTTTTGCACATGCCACAGTTATTCAAATTTAAAGTAACTGTGTATTAAAATTGGCAGAAAAATATATATATTTTTAATGGTTTCCTGCAGATTTTGCTTCAAAATTCAAAAAGCTGTTCATGTTTGCAGTCACACAGATCTCCTTAACAGAGACTATTCATCAGAATGATGTTATACAAAATCTATAAGAACTCAAAGTACTTTTACTTTTGATATCTTAACAACAAAGTACATCACTCAAGTAGAACTACAGATAGAGTAGTGTAGTCAAGTAATATTTTAACAAGAATATTTCTACTTATACTCAAGTACAATAGTACTGTAATTTGTCCACCACTGAATAATATCACAGTCGAATATTGACCTAAACTCTCACAAAGACACCCACCTCTCCCACCCCAAAACACACAAAGACATACACAAACACACAGGCATACACTACCTTCTTGACTCTTTGAGGGTTTTTCATGCGTCGACACTTCCTGATGTCCATTTCTGTGGTGTTGACACAGCCTGGCTGTGGGTCACATGATCAGTCATTCATTTCTCACTAATCTACTTTACTCATAAAGTGTACTTATATATTGTGCCCTTATGTCACATATTACATTAACAGAATTTGTTTTTAAGGATGAACAAATCAGTGTAGTAATTTTGTTTATGTTTATGTGGTATTCCATATCTACACACACCACTGGTCGGTGGACATCCCAGAAGGCTCTTTCTTGGCTGTCGAGGATCTTTCTCTCCGTCTTGTCCTTTTTCCTGTCGATCCTAAATGATCACAGAGGAAAGACATTATGGGATGTAGTAATATAATAAAACAACTGCTGTCAATTTTTTTTTGTGTAACAACCACACATACTAAAAATGGATGCAAACAGGAAATAAAGAACTAAAAGTGTTTCACTAGGCTTGTTGAGTGTCGCAGACTGCTTACTCATATTTTATAGTTTTGGCTGTAGAAGCTAGAATTTCAAACTTACATAGCTAGCACGCTACTGAGGGACTACAGAGCCGTTTGAGATTCTGCTTGGATTTGACGTTACTTCGGACTGAAGCATTTAAAACATATAAGCCATTCATTGAAGTGATACTCTTGGTGGTCCATGCGAGCAGCATTAGAGTAAAAGATGATTCCATTAACAGCCCAGATTTTTCATGGAGCAGTAATACAGTTTAGTTATTATGAGTTGGTCATAGATGTGTCTATCGTGTATTTACCATGGCTTTAAACAAGCCAATCAGGTTTTAGGACCAAACCGTCTGTTTTATAACTGTTTTTGTTTATAGTTTAATCGTGGGCCGATCCTGATATCCAACATTTTTAATGTACATATCTGCACACACAATTATATGTAATTGTGGCCTCAAAGGTAAAACAGTGGTCTGGGGTCAAGGCAGGGAGTATAGAGCCAATGCAACTTTGAAAAAAATGATTGCAATGGGTTATGATACAAGTGTTTTTCCTTAAATAAAGGCATTGAAGATGTACCCTTGAGGGAATCTTCCCAGTGACTTGATGGTTACCACCCACAGACAATTTAATACCTTTTTTTCAGAGAATGTACACATGCAGGAAAATGAGTAAAATGCAGATGCTTTGGTGCAGTAGCTCAGCATCACCTAAACACTGTGCTCTTCTGGAGCACAATAAATCAATTTTCAAATACTGGTTTAAATTACTGGTTAAGCTAAAACATCTCTCTGATGCAAATCATTTTTTAAGCAGTCTGCCAGTACTGATATGATTCCTGATATGATATCATGATATATGAGTACTGATATAATATCATTGCACATCTTTGTTTATTTCTTTCTTTCTTTATTTTAATGATCTAAAGGAATTATTTTCCCTGCTGTCTACAGACCATCCATTGATGTTGGACTTTCAACACTTTTTTCAACACATTTGACATTTAAATTTGGTTACATCTGAACTTCCTTGCCTTCCCCTGATCTATGTGGCATCTCGCTTTGTTCATTTCTTTGTGTTTTTCCTCCTTTAATGGAGCACTGCAGTGTTTTTCCACCTAATCTGTATCTGCTGTGTCTGTACTGTGTCTGTGTCTGTGCTTAATTACCACAGACAATTATTTTGACACCTTTCCCAGCACTTAGCAAAAAAACAGAAAACCAGTGACTCAGAACACATTTATCATCGAGGCTAATGGGCAGATGCTGAACCGCCTTCTCATTGGCTTCTATTATAAGTGAGTTTTGAGCCACTTGGTCTTCTTCTCTACGTACAAGTTATGCATGGTGATCAATGACATGCTATGGATGCAGCAGACAGGACTAGGCTGAAAAACATTGCCTTTGAAAACAATGACTAAACATCAGTGTATGAAACAGATGTGTCTGAGTGACTCTCTTTGACTGCCTGTGTATGAACAGCGTTCACTAACAATAACACACCCAGAAAATGTTTGAGCGTACTGTAGGATCCCCACTGTAGGAACAGTATGAGTGCATGTCCTCATCATAGCGCAGGCCTGTGAGTGAGTGGAGCTAATTCATTTCCATTCCTGCCCCTTCAACCTTATGTAACTGACATTTGCAGCACCATCACACACTCTTTTCCTTCGCTGATCCTGTTCTGCTCTCCTGAATCGACTTCATTCATCTCTGTCTCTAACGCTCTTCTCTCCAAGCTATATGCTGTAGCATCTTTTCTCAGGAAATATCAGACAATAAATGATCCTGGGGAAAGATCGATGGCATGATGCAAGTGCCAGATGGCTTCAGACGGCCTGAGACAGCTTGTATTTGCAACGTTTGACCATCAGATGAGGCTGTTGATCCAGAGTTTGAAAGAAAGACAGAAGTCAAATCATATCACAGAGCTAAATAAGCCTCACATCACGTGGCAATAAACTCAATAACGAACACCTGCTACCAAATTATCATACAGATAAAGTATGATTCAAAAGTTTGGAATCAGTGTTGTGAATGATATACAACTATTGTTGTGGCAGATACATGTAAGATGACTGTAATATGATGCTAATATTCTGTAGGCTTCAAACAACATGAATGGATCTGTAAATGACTCCAATAACAGAAAGCTGTAAAGCATCAAGAATGAAATTACAATTATTATTTTTTTTATTTTAAAGAGAAAAATTAATGAATTAATAAAGAATGCTATTGAAATATTCGAAAGGTGGTGACCACATTTTGCTGACCAAATAAGCAATCATAGTTATTTTTTGTTGACAAATTATTATAAATAGAACACTTTTGCCATGCCATTTCTTCTTGTTGTCCCTAAAATATTTAAAACTGGAAATAAAGTTTTTATTTTTCTGTCTAGTTTATAACATTCTAATCAATATCGTGTAAGTTATTTTTGAATAAAAATAAAAACTTTTGAACAATAGTGAATAAAATGAAAGGTTATTGTTGTGTGTTGTGTCTTGTTTTGAGAAAAGAAAAACAATCCACCACATTTTTGCTGGGTTTCTGTCATTTCTTGACATTTGTTTTGACCCAGGTCAGAAGTGCAGCCTGGAACCTGTTAATCAAGAATGTAATTTATTACACAACATACTATGCGATTAAATATACAGTTATAGATCTACGTTTGGAATAATATAATACAGTCATACAGAAATGCTTAAAAACACCCCACAAAGACAGGAATACAAACTAGTCTCTGTGTGACCGTGAGTGTTTGCACATTAATTGTGTACGTGTGTGTTTGGACTCCAGGTGACGGTCGAGCTTGTTTTCGATGGTAAAGTGAACAGGTATGAGTGATAGGCAGCGCTCGCCCCGTTTCCCTGACGACAGCACTTACTTGACCTGAGCCTCAGCCTGCATGAAGATGAACTCCCACTTCCTTGCAAACGCTCTCTGCAACCTCGCCAGGTTCTCCTGAGAAAGAACCACAAGGTAAGTTTAATTACGCAACACGTCTTCACACACAAGCAAGTTCAAAGTGCTTTACAAAAAATCCAAATGAAAACTTCATTACAGCAAAAGATTGAATTAAAATGTATTAGAACAAATATAATGAAGATTAAGATTGATAAGAAGAAAATGAACACATAATGAACAAGAAAAAGAAAGAAAGAAAGAAAGAAAGTAAGAAAGAAAATGAAATGAACGAATGAAGTAAGAAAGAAAGAAAGAAAGAAAGAAAAAAAGAAAATGAAATTAATTTAATGAAGAAAGAAAGAAAGAAAGAAAGAAAGAAAGAAAGAAAATGAAATTAATTTAATGAAGAAAGAAAGAAAGAAAGAAAGAAGGAATGAAGAAAATAAAGATGGAAGGAGGGAAGAGAGGAAGAAAGGGAAGGAAGAGAGAAAGAAAGAATATAATGAAGAAAATAAAGATGGAAGGAGGGAAGAGAGGAAGAAAAGAAGGAAGGAGCAAAGAAAGAAAAACAAAGAAAGAAAGAAAAGAAAGAAAGAAAGAATGAATAAGTATAAGCAATAAGCAATAAAGTAGATAAAATAAATCAATACAATATTTGTGCAAATGAACTGCAGATTTATTACTATTTTATTACCAAATTTATTAGTGAAATGATTTAATTTGTCATCCAAATGAATCAGTTTCAGTTTATTTGAAAGTCTATTAAACAGGAATTGAAACACATTTTTTTCAGATGAATATGACCTTGATTTTTGTTCATGTCTGTGAGTTTCACTGCTCTGTGTAATGGGCAGTCATGTTTAAAGCTCGTCCATGTCAGGAAGAGTCCTTCCATCAGTACAATCAGCACACAGCTCTGTGGCTGCTGCTACTGGCAGTAATAGCGGGGCGTATTTTCTCTCTCTCTCTCTCGGGGGACTGGAGTGATTTAGCTTCCTTTTTGCCTCAGAGTGTGTTCTCTCACCGCTTCATAGTCTGCTAGCTCCAGCCGTGTCTTGTTCTGCATGGTCCGCTTGCACAGATAGATGGCTGCGAGGGGTGATAGAGGAACAGAGGGAAAGTGAGAAAGGAACAGAGAAGCCCTGAGAGGCCAAATCTTATCTACCGGCTCGAATAAATCCGTTACACACACACATTCACACGCGAGGAGTAGACCTCAGATTGGATTTAGTATCTTCCTGATTAGCCATAGCCTCGGTCAGAGTGATTTACAGTGAGCGGTGACTCGGAGGTGAGAGAGAACAGCTGCCCAGCGGCTGCTCAAACTGGAGCCAAACTTACAGAACGTCCACTGGCCTGGAGGTCAGAGCAACAAATCAGGCCTACTGTAGCCACATGGCTGTCCAGGAGCACAGAGGCAGCATGGAAACAGCAGTCCACACTGAGCTGTTTTATAACACTGAAAGAGCCAGTGGACCATTTTATAGAACTCCAGTAATACTCTATATCAGCTAAACAGATAATTAACTAATAACTGAGTAATTAATTAATTGAATTGCACCCTGTGACCTTATCAACCTCATTTTCTTCCAGACAAGTGACAAAAAAATAACAAAATACTTTATTATGTTATATTGTTTATAGAATATGATGGTAGTTTGTAGGTTAAGGTTATATAAGTGCCTCATTACTAGAGGCCACACAAAATATCACAATACTACTTAAACCTTGATACCAAAACTATTTTTAACAGGGTGTCAGCAGACAAGTTAAATGTAAAAACACTAATACCTCCATATCAATGCGTATCTGTGTTTGATAGCTCAACAGCAGCTAACATTACTTTAATGCACATTCCTGCATCACACAAGCAGAGTGAATGTCCAGTTATTCAGTGTGTGAGGTATGATGTTTTCTTAAATCCAGGACCACTTAAATTAAAAGTTAAGACAATTCAATATTAATTAACTCCCTTGAAGTCCCAGGCTTATTACATAATAAGCCTTATTTTTTAACTACAGGGACTTCAATGCAAACTGACTGAGCCATTTGTAGATTATATATGAGTGTGTAATAAAACTTTGGGCCTGCTAGTGGGTCCTGGCCATTAAAGAGGTTAAGGGCTTCTAAATGTACAGTACTGAGCAAAAATCAGAGACTTTTATTCAATTAAGTACAAGTAAAAGCAGAAAACAGTTTGCCTTTATTACAGCTTCCATTTTTTTCATAAGACTTTCATTTTGTCAAAGAAATATGAAGGGAAATCTTTCTACACCTCCAAAGTTCACATTCAGTGATGTTGAGGTCTGGACTCAGGGGCGGACAGTCCATTGTTCTGAGAACACCAGCATCTTCTTTGTTCAGATTTGCAAATTTTCCTTTTCTCAGTAAGGGCTTCTTGACAGCTACACATCCTTTCAGACTCAGTGAGTTGTCTTCTCACAGTGGACAGACGGACAGAAACTCCACTTTAGTAAACTCCCATTTTGTCACTTATTTTTATTTGACTTTGTCCTTCCTTATGCAAGTGGATTATGTTATATCTAATCACTTCAGAAATGTCCCTGGAAAATGAATAACTAACTGTACTGTGCTGGAAATTAAATAAATGAAAGGCAGTCTGAGATCTGCACAGCATGTCTAGGTATAGGCAACTTTTGAACTTTTTTCAAGTATATTTTGTAATGTACTGCATTCTATTAGTTTTGACTGAAAGAACAAGCCAGAAAGAACACAACAGATTTTTCAAAGGCAACACACAATAGATTTTGGTATCTTATTAATCAATGGGCTTTGGGCTTCATACACATTCCAAATAATAATATTTACCTTAATCTTAAGGTATCAAGATGTCTTTTAACCTAAAATTATACAATATTATGTTGTAACAATTGTTCTCCAATCTGAAGTATATACAAATAGTTGGTGCGACAGGAATGTATTTAAGGGTTAATTCTGTCTGGCTTTGGCACAGATCAGATGCTAGCAAAACATTTACTTCAGGATACTGCAGATTGTATCATACATGACACCATAAATAAATCTGGGATGGAAGCCAGCAGGTTCCTCTCTCACCATAGTCTGTATTCTCGGGCTCCCAGCAATTAGACGGCCAAAAGTATGGAGCCTGAGAAGAGATAGAGAGAGAGATAGAGAGAAAGAGAGAGAGAGAGAGAGAGAGAGAGAGAGAGAAGAGAGAGAGAGAGAGAGAGAGAGAGAGAGAGAGAGAGAGAGAGAGAGAGAGATGCTGATTACTTGTCTCCTTAAATAGACACGCAGATTCATCCTCACGCCTGAAGTGACAGCAGCACCGCTGAGCTCGAGCCTCATCATTTCTCTCATCTGCAGGTGCATATATAGAGGAACTAATTCCCCATTAAAGGCTGAGCTATTATTGCTAATGTACTGCTTTATTTTAACATTATAGTTAATGACAACTCCAGACCTTCATCTTGTATGGTACATTTAAAAGTCCCGTAATTATATGTATACAGTACATTTTCTTGAAGCAACTGCCCAAGTAAATTAGGAACATTTAGAAATAAATGGTTCAGAAAAAGTAGATTACAGGTATAGCAGCAAATTTTTAAAGGTTTAGGTACGGGCGTATGTAAAAGTTTGGGCGCCCCTGGTCAAATTACGTTTTGTTAATTTTTTCAGTGAAATTAACACGTCTACAGGGAACACACATTTATCATTTTTAATGCATAGCTACTGTTTATTTGCTGAATTAACATATTGGAGGAAAATAAAAAATGTGCCATAACTTTTGGACAGGCCACATTTTACGTTGTAAGTATGTACGTTTTTCCCAAAATTAATACATTCAGTAAGTAAATTGAAATTGTGCACTAAAAATTCTATAATTCAGAAAAATTGCAAAAAAAAATGCAAAAAAGTTTGTTCCCTGTGTAAGATAATCCATCAACAAAATCAACAAAACCTATATAATATCAATCAATAAAACCTATATAATTTGACCGCCGATGCTCAAACTTTTACATACAACTGTATGCACAGAAATTTTCATCTTTAGATTCTTCTGATAGTAGTAAATCTTTAAAGAGCCCATATCATGGAGCTCCGCCCATTCACGCTGAAGTTATAAGGAGTGTTTCAGCCTGGACTGCTTCTTGAATGAGGGACAACACAGAGCCAATCACAACAGAGTTCATGTGCATATATCAGCCTTGAAGAGATTCTAAGAGATAAAGATAAAAACACAGAGCCTGAAGTGCAGCTCAGGAAAAAATAAAATACAGGCAAAATGTAGACGACGGATCCTTTAAGATCAAGCAGGTCAGCTGTATCAGTGCTGACATTCAGAACTGTCTGGTCAAGTCTGTCTCAAAATGTCTGTTGAAACCAAGCCCTGTTTTTCAAAGCATCTTGTTCAGGCCTACATGAAATTCATGGTGTACATTATAGCCAATTCCTGTGAGGCGTCTCAAACGCTTTCCCACTGCACTATGAGTCAATGCACATGGGGTTTTGATTCGTGTTCGCAAAATGATAGCAATTACAAGCTATTAGAGCTTCAAAAGGTGTGATTTTGTCCTACTAATCATTGGTACTTTTATACAGATTTCTGTGAATTCAGAGGAGGACAACCCCTTTCATCAGCTTTAACCCCTTAGACTGCTGGCTTTTTATGACTATTGTAAATGACTACTAATGAAACTAATATGTGGGTCATGTAGTGCGGAACTGAAACGTGGGCTCAGATACGGGTCCTTGCAGTTTGAAATCAACATAAATGGGAAATCGCATTTGTATGAAATGCATTTCTCTTCCATACTTTGACGTATTTCCAAGTGAAATGTGCTATTTGAGAGGGCCTCAGAGCTAGCTTTCTCTCAGTGATACGTGGGGGGTGGGGGAAGTGGAGGTTAGACATGATATTATTGGTCAATATTATTTTTCCCATCTGCTCATGCATGGTGATGTAATCAAAACCCAAAAGACACTGGTAAAAAGTAATCATGTTTTTTCCAGACATTACATCTTCTAAGTTATATAAGACGAAACACACTTAATATGAGCAGGGACATGAACTAGCTACATAAAACAAGGTTTGAAATTCAGGTTGACTTTAAACAAGGGTTAAAAATAAATCACTACATTTGTTTTCCAATATCAGAGACTGTACCTTCAAAACCTTCTGATTCTGTCTGATCTCCCATCTCAAGAACCAAAGACCTCCCAATAGATTTCCAGCCTCATCATTTGCTCCTCCACAGAGGCAGACTGGGGTCAAGCCTGAACCGGTGCTGCTTATAACGACACCAACTCCTCCACCAGACTCCCAGATCACGGGGGGTACGGAGGTAATTATTCCACATGAGCATCATTACCTTCGTGCAATGTGATGATGAGCTCTTTTCCAGAGAGGAAAAGAAAACGCCATTTCCACTTGCCAATTAAGCAGTGTGTGGAGGAAACGGGGAGGAATTTGTTTAGCGCTCCTGATTCTGCGCAGTGATGGTTCACAGTGGTATCTGTTCATGTTCTAGTTGGCTAGAGAAATGATGTCTATTCTGAGAGCAGCAAAAAAAGGAACATTTGTTTGGTTGATTTGGTGGTCAGTGGACCACCAAGTGAACCATTCCTTTGCAACAAGGTTATAGCAAATACTAATAAAAATCTGATTTCAGTTATGTGTACTGGACACAGCATCCACATAAGCTAAATGGGTTCTACACCAGTTAAAGTTTACTCAAATAACCATACGTCCAAGCCAAGAACCATTTAAGAACCTTAATTTTAACAAGTGAAAGAAAGAGACCCTTCAGGTGTACGTCAGTTATGGAGGAGAAATGACCTTTTTTTGCTCATTTATGATATTACCTTATTTAGCACTCTGTACATCATGAAATTACTATGCAAAATGCAGGCAACCTGCACACAATAGGGGAAACAATACAGCCAGAGCATTTTTTCATGAAGCCCTGTGCTATTTTAAACATGATGAAAGACTCCTGAATCTCTTCTGAATGCCACAGCGCAGAGGGAGATAAAGAGACTCACATGGAAGTTTGCCCCGAGCCATCTCATCTGTAATCATGGAGAAATTATTGATTCAAGCCTCAGAAAAACCTCAAGCAGAAATTAAGTAGTTATATTTGGCGAAATTGCTCAGTTGGGAGGCGTATAATCTGTTACCTGAATATAAACTCAGAGTTACAGGTAAACAAAGAGGAGGATGTTGAATTTCAATTCCTTATCACCAGATCGCTGCTCAGCACCACTGCAAATGCTCTTCATCTTTTCTTTTTAAATGATATGAATATGATATGAATCAGTGGAAGAACTCAATATGACTAAACAAACTGTTCATAAATTATTTTCTTCCTTATTCTCTCTTAAACTATGGACCATTTTAAACCTTCTTAGTTCATGTTCCTGATCACATTAAGCACAATTCATTTTAACCTTTAGCCCCTTTTTACAGTAGCCATTTTGAAGATGGGCCATAAGGAGAACTCATTTTTTGTCTTTTTGTACATTGATGAAATTTATTTCAACGGGAATGTGTATGATTTACAACACTGGAATGAGCTGGATTTTTGGTTTTGTAAGTGAGCAGCCAAGTCAACATTTTTAAGTGATTTATTGTGTTTACATTATATTTAACTTACATTTTATATTTTTATGGCAGCTGACAGTTTTCTGATATCATTAAAGCAGTTGTGCTGTTAATTTTACCTCAGCCTGGCCGGAGAGATGTGAATTGTTTCACAGTAGGGGGTTCTCACTCCTCCCCTTTCGCCCCTCATTTCTCACTAGCAGCTCAACACAGAGTCACATTTCACACACAGAGAGCCAACAGTGTTCTAGTTATATGTGATAACAGAATTACTGGGAAAGATCTTTTAATTAATGATATTAATTTCAAATATCTGAGTCAATTTCTATTCTGCGCTGGAATGGGCACTAGAGGGCCTGAAGAAAAAGATTAAAAGGCAAAATTCTTCCATGAAAATGTTATGACTTTCACCTGTTTCTAAAATGTCTGTTTTGATGTTGATTTTGTATTGCATCTCTGTGCACCAGTGGGCAGAGAAAAATAACATTATTTAATAATTTCATGCTTCCCACCACCCTGACCTATTATCAGCCAGCTGAGTGACCCTCTGTGAGACTGCGTTTTACTGAGAAGTATGTCACAGTACGGAAGGAAAATGTGTTATGATTTCTGATTTATATTGACTTTAAAATTCAGAACTGGGCTCTCGAGTAGCGCAGCTCCCTCACTCTCTCTAGGTAAGTAGGATGGCCATTCCTTTCCACCAGCCACTCAGTAGCCATGTTTACATGCAGCCTGATAATCCATTAATAATCTGACTAATAGATCTATTGGAATAGAATACATCCATGCATACACCTCAATCGGACTAGACTAGTCCAATCGAGGCCATTCGGAAAACAATTTCTATCCAATTGAACAAGGTGGGTAATCCTGTAAATAATCTGTTAAACAGAACAAAAATAACCATGTGGACGCTTGTATCCGATTACATTCCCAATCGGAAAGTTTAAGTACATCCTGTGCATGTGCATTCGTGTCATGCCTAAAGTTTATAACATTCAACATGGCAGGAGCAAAGTTTATGCTTTGAACCTTAAAAGATGGTGGTGGGATTGACGTCCATCTTATGTGTCCCAGAACATAAAATCTTCCTCTCTGGCTTTCTTTAATAAGCACATGTGAAGTATGTTTTCTTGAGTCTGACATCATTTTAAAGTAATTAAAAACACAAACGTGCCAGCTCAGGTAACACACTGCTGCTTGTCTCACTCTGACTGGACTCACATGATGCTTGTTGTCATGGTAACATCTACACTAAGTGGTACTCTACACATGCGCGTAATTTTGGATTGAATTACTTGTAGTTTGCATGTAAACGAGGATTTTCCATCAGATTGTTGAGTAGAGTGCATATGAACACCTCAGTCTTAATCTATAATCAGAATGTATTCAATTGGATTGGCAAAAATCTTTGCATGTAAACGGCCAATGTGGGTGTCACAACAAAATTGGCAGCTAGTCAATCAAAGCACATTGAGCTGTCCACTGACACTGCGTTAATGGAAGGTCAAAAAGATACAGTGGTGCTTCATATGTCTCAAAGGAAGTATGTGCTAGCTTTCACTCTCCCAGCTTGGTGGCAATGTGTGATAGGAGGAGACCTAGCTAATGGAAACTGGCAATGATTAAATCGGGGAGAAATTGTGTAAAGAGAAAAAAAAAAGAAAGAAAGAAGAAAGTGAAAAAACTGTGAAGTAAAAAATATCTGACTAGACTGTTCTGCAACAGTGCTGGTTGGGGCCTCTCACTATCAATACATTCAGACAGCTTGTCTTTCTCCTCTTTAGATCAATCTTCCGCCCAGTATTCACACTGCATATATGCCCACTGAGCAGTAAAATGGACAAAATGCATGTGGAGCTGGAGCTTGCAGTGTGCTACTGTGTTTCATATCACTATATAAAAGAAGCTCCATGCTGCTTTTATTGTTGGATGCATTGCACTATTTCTCATTGCTATGGAAACAGTTATTATTAATTTGTTTCACCAGAGTAACAATAAAAGGTGACTGAAGGGTGAAATGCCTTCCTATTCATATGATTGCTTTGCTGTTTGTGACAAACATAACACTAATCCATGAAATTTTAGCTTTTTTAGGTCACGTTCTTGACATTTCAAAATAAATATGACAAGCTCATTGTGGAATCACATTATTAACATGGAAGAATAGATTAAAGGCAGAAAAAGCAGTTTTTTTGGATCTAGATTAAAAGGTTCAGCATCTCTAATATTGACTCTGGGCCTCACCTGAAAGCGGTAAAACGTCCCATCATCCTTCAGGGTGAGCACATGGTCAGAGATGGGGAAGATGTAACCCTGAGCAGCAATCAAGCTTCCAATGTGCAAGGCCTCGGCTGAAACAGCAGCCATACAGCATAGTTTTAGACTGGGCATAAAAATTAAACACGGCCTCTGTGGTTTGTTTCCCTCTATAGTGATTAGTCAAACACTGGATGTTAAGGCTCACCTACCTGGATCTTCAATGGAGAGATTCTTCATCAGCCACTGAACAATGTCAGACCCTAGTGTTTATCAAATAAAGGAAGAGATCCATCACTTACATGGTGAAACAATGTAACCTGAGCCATTTGAGCTAATAAATGTCAGAGTAACAACAAGAACACCCAATAACACCACTGAAGATAAATATGATCTGACAGCACGGGTAGACATGCCTCCTCCTGGAGTGTCAAACTTCAGCAGGATTTACTTCTAACTCCAATCTAACACATCACATTAATATTAAGAGACTCCTAAATAGGACTGACACAAAATCTAACATACCCAGTGGCAGTATGTGCCATAGAGATGCATGTATGTATGTTTGAGATACATGGATGATCATCTCAGAATCATTTCAGCAGCTTTGTACCATGTCTTCAGTACACGTGTAACACTTTGAAAGCAGACCTTTTATTATAGTGCTATTTAAAATGGTAAATATGAGCAAAACTGGCTGTGAAAAATATCAGCTGGATCTTGCCCAGAAAAGATGATAAAAGATAAAAATATGTGTCACAATTATTAGCACCTCATACATTTAGTATTTTGGGCATCTTCCATTTGCCAAGATTAAAGCATTGTGTGCTCATATTACTGAAAACAAATGTTGCTTTGAATGAATGTGATGAGAATGTGCACATCGATTTCATGACAATGAATTATATTACAACACCACAATTACTGTTGGTCGTTTTACTTACTTTGGGTAATAATTGTGTTGATGTAATATATTTTATTCATGTGGAACTGATGAACACATTTGAATCAAGTAAATTCAAAGCAACACTTTTTTCCAGTATACCACTGGAAGGATCTGAGAGCACTTCTCCTGATAAAATCACCAAAGAAAGTAAATTAAAAGTTCCAAAAGGCTCATGTTGTGCAGAGCAGGCAACCGCTTGCTAGTGTCGATTAGATAGCAAGTAGATTTTGGCTTGATAAGCAAAAGTTTGGTTCTGACAGATTAAAACTGGATGTGTGGATAGCCAATGAGAGTGTAGCTGATAAGAATATAATAGTCAGGGGTAATTCCATGATTGAGTTGCCATTTGTGTTCCACTGACATACATTATGTTTATAAAAATGTATGTAAAGTCATGAAGTTATGAGATATTTTAAACATATTGTTGCAGAACAAAAACAATCCCATCTCCAAAATGGTAAATTTACAGGAGAAGGAAAACAAAATTCACAGAAGTTAATGTAACAAAGTATTTTTCCATGTCATTTCATCATAGAATTTCACTGAAGAAAATCTACAAAATTGACTGGGGTGTTCAGACTTTTGCATACAACTGTAACATAAATGATATTTCTATCCCAACATTTGGTTGATTTGGCAAGGGCAGCTTTGCAAATGATCTAGGAGTCTGTTGACATTGCAAGGGTTGTTGCACTTAGGAATGGAGGAGAAAATAACTTGCTCACCTGTGACCACACTTGGGATCTTAGACATGAAGCTCTTAACCGTTCTGATGGGCACTCCTTCAGTCTCATCCTGGATTCGGGTCACTATATCCTCAATCTGCCAACAGGGGAGAAGAATAGCCTTTATGAGTTCACATCTCACACTCACAGCTCCTTCTTAGTCATCTCATCAGTACTGTTTTCCTCTACACAGCTCACAGTTGGTATAAGTCATGAGGTCAGCACTCTGAAGTCTGGCTGCATTACCCAACATTATTATTTCCCACATATATTGATACACCACAAATTTTCTAAACAAAACGTCTTTATAAAAATATCGAGTTATTAAGAAAAACTCTATCTTGGCTGTGGCGGAGAGCTGAGATGAAACAGGCTGATAGCTAACTGCGCTCTATAAATAATCTCTGCACTGGTGAAAAATGGCTTGTGCTCGACAGGAGAGACAGGGAGAGTAATCAGATTAGGTAGCACTTTCTGCTGTTGAGAATGCGTGTTGTCATCGCCACTCTCGGGTGCTCGACGCTCTTTTTGCGTGTTTGTGCGTGGGCGGCGAGACCCCAGTCGCTTTGGAGACGCTTAATGCATATCTATATATAAACCCAATCAGAGCGAGACTCCAACCACCACGAGCCTGGGTGAGGTGCTGGGAAACACAATGGAGCTGGAACAAAATGAGGCCTCTTCATGTTATCTGAGTACAGCAACAGCACGCACACACACACACACACCATCAGGCATGTTAAACAACACAGTAGAACACTCTCTCGCTCGCTTGCTCTCTCTCTCTACCAAACAAATAAGTGAATGTACACATACTCAGCCATACATCTGGCCCAAAACAAACACAAACAAATATTGCAGAATCACATGTTTGGTGTACCTACAACTACAAATGCATTTTCATTTTATCACTTGCAAAATGTGCATACATCTGATGGAAACTAGATACCATGCTCATAACAAAGAATGAAAGTACAGAAAAAAACAGGGTTCAAGATGAGTGCTACTAGTTTTAACTTCTGTATGTCCATTTTTATAGATAACGGTGTGTCAGAAAACACACAAGCAAGTGTATTTCAATTACAGCAACCCCTTATTTGAAGGCTACCATCATGGGGCCCTCATAACACATGCATAAGTATTAAATAACATATTTAAAAAGCAACATTTGAGTATTTATAAACAGCTTATGCCGTTAATTGCAAGACAACAGTTTTATGAAGTAAATTACAATGTAGTGACATAAGAGGCTTTAACACAGGTAAGAGTTTATTTGAAGGTTACCCACATAGGGTCTTCATAATGCATGTATTTGCATTGAATAATAGTATCTAATGAGCAATACTTGAGTATTTCTGAACAGCTTATGCAAGACGACATAAGTAGACTTAGGAAGTTAATGACATTGTCTCACATAAGGGGTCTTCAACTAAAGTGACAGACAGTTGTTCCATTTATAACACTGTTATAAAGCAAAAAGTAGAAGTAAAAGAGCTTACAAGGCAGAGGCCTAGCTTAGTAAAAGATTCTGATGCTCTCGAACTTAAGTGATCATTTATATATATATATATATAAATACTCTCATACTTGAGTAAAAGAAGAAATATCCGTGAAAAATATTATTCCAGTAAAAGTAGAACTTCTCTCTGTATTTCCACTTAAGTACAAAAGTACAAACGTTCTTGCTTATAAATGTACCTGAGCATTAACAGTAAAAGTACTGTGGGCTATTGTAGTTGTGTTGTTTTATTTTGATGAACAGTTTCTAAGCAGATCTGTTTGACTGCAGACATGAAGAACAGATTTAACTGTCTGTATGATGTTTCATGACAGTGTTATAAATGGAACAAATGCCTGCCACTTTACATTAAAGCCCCTCATGTCAATACAGTGTAATTTATGTCATAAAATATGTTGTTTCACGATCAATGGCCTAAGCTGTCCATAAATGCTCAAGTATTGCTTTATAAATATGTTACTCAGTGCTTATGCATGCATTATGAAGTCCCTATGAATGCAGTCTTCAAAAAAGTGTTAAATGATTTAATACCTCAAAACAGTGAGGAAAATGTGTGATGATTTAGGCATGCAGTTTGCACAGTACTAACAGGTGCAGCGCAAGGAGGCCTGAAACTGGTTGAAGGGCCACAACCCACCCACCTTTGTTGGTGGTCATGGAATTGTTTATAATATTGTACTGCAGCACCATGATGGCAGCATACTAACTATGGTGTTGTACATGTGTCCACTACAAATTTGGTATTTATTTTTCTTTTTCTTTTCTGTATCTTTTTTTTTTGGAAGAATGTTTTGAATGTTAAATGCATAGATTGGGGCTTACAGTACATGTAAAACTATAATCAGGTTACCTGAATGCTTCTAGAAACAAACCTCTTACATTCAATAAATCTCTTATTATATAAAATATGATAAAGTCATTTATATTTTGTCATCCAGTGGGAACTACACAGGCCGGGCTGCATTTTCCAAATGCACTGTGTCTTGCTATGGCATGATATGAGATTATAGGTTATTGCTGATGGCAGTGCAGTTATCATATTATCCAACACCTTGTAGTGGTACAGAACAAACAACAGCAAGATTGTGCACACATTAATATGAACACGTTAACATAAATCCAACAACCAATGCAACACAATTTATAAAACATAATACTGCTTTTGAAACAAAACCTCTCCAAAAGGTAACTTTACAGGACAAGGAAAAATGCTCTTAACTTTAATGGAAGTAAATGGAGACATATATTTTTCCAAGTAATTTTGGACAATTTCCATTGGTCCATTCATCATGAAATTTTGACACAACATAAAGGGCAGCCTTTTTCAAATTAGCTCAAAAATTGAAAAATGACAAAAACAGAGATACAAGGTTTTGTCCCTGACAGCATTGATAAATTAAAATCGGAACCCCTGGAATGTACATAAAAAGATGAAGAAAACAACACCAGTAAGCTTCTTAAGCTAAAGCATACTGCCACAGCAAACATGGAAAATGTTTTTTTTTTTTTATTATGTCCTACCTTTAATTACAGTATGTGCAAAAGCAGACAGTTCACAGATCACTGCCGTCAATGACAAGTCTTTTTTTTCTTTAACCAGGGCCGAATGTTTTAACTTGTGTTTGGCAATGGGTATCCTCTACTCTGTCAGGCTAGTAGGCCACCAGGTATGTCTTTTGAAAAACCTGAGAGCATCAGGATTATAATCGATCGTAAAACAGCCACAAGACTTATTTTAGTTATTTTTTGGTCATGCTGCTACTGAAGTTCTCACCATGAGTCAAGACAGCTGTTTATTATTTGTCACAACTGCAGGCCCCCTAGTGGCTCGTACCCCTGGGCATGCGCCTATTAAACCCATGGAATAATCTGGGCCTGAGTACAAGTTTCCATTAGGTGTTTGCTCCAGTGCACAAAGTAAGAAGTGAACTTTGCACATCAGACATGTTTTGGATGATCATCTTGGTTGATGACAACATTTAGTTTATGGAGAAATATATATAAATATATATATTTATCGCCTCTCCACCCATGAAAGCAGTCCAGGACCTGTTATTGCTTTCTAGCCCGGTGGAGAAAACACTATAACATGTACTACTCCAAACGGATCGATGAGCGTGTCTGCCACCCCAGAGCCCAGCTGAAGAAGGCCGTGTTCCTCTTCATCCAGTGCCTGATTACATGCCCCAGTCCCGGCCTCGCCGCGACTGCAGGGGAAAACAGAGCCTGCTGCCGACATCTTAACACCCAAATCAATAGTGATAAAATGCACACAATGCAACTGGGGATGGACCGAGACGGTGCAACATGAATGGCACCTCCTATCTCAAAGCCGCAGCTTAGCCCATGGAGGAGGGACCGGGGAAAGAGGAAGCGACACATGCTTCTTGATGCTGTCTGCTGTTTTCATGCCTTTAGGAACTACAAACAGTTTCAGTTGGCGCAGACTTCTGGAAGCACAAGCATACAAAGGGTTGATTAAAGCCAGAGGGGGCAGCAAAGAGTATGATTTTGAAAGCACTAATTGGGAGAAACAAGTGTGAATGAGATCTTTGCAGGGAGTCTTCTCTAAACTCCAACTCCTTGTGCTGATTTCCTTTTTGTGCACTGAGAACTGAACATCACTGCCGGTGGGCTACGTATCCCACCTTCCACCTGGTGGATGAATAACTTTTAATGAACATGGACCAGACTCGTTTAGCTCTTTTAAAGAGGAGCACTCCACTCAGACTCGTGCCAGTGAGTCACTCTACAGCAGCGTTATCAGCACCACTCACTACACAGCTCCTTTCTGAATGAGCCATTTCATTGGCGCCGTTCCAGAGAACACTTCCACCATTCCCGATAGGCCATGGCCCAGTGGTAGGTCTGTCTCCACAAGCTTATCTAAAGGCCCCACTCAGAGAACGCAAGGCCGAATGTTAACTGAAGCAATTAGCACTTTTGTCTCTTGTGGAGAACTCTGCCAAGACGGACTGTAATTTGTGAACAAGAAATCTGTTGACCTCTGTCCGGAAGTGATGATTAGTGTTGAAGCATTACATGACTAAGCTTAAAAAGTCACTCAAGGAGAGAAACGTTGTTTGTGCATGGAATGAAGCTGAGGGACAAAGAGGATGTGGCACCTCTTGGTATTCCTTCTTTGTGCTCTAAAAGAGTTTTCTTGAATCATTGGCCATTTTTGACATTTCGCTCAACATGGCTCGGAATCTGCACTGCAGGAAAGCTGATTTGAGATAATGTCGGATGCAAAAAGTGCTATTCTATACTTTCAGTTACTTACTTAGTTATTACTTACTGTATGGTACTGTAAACTTGCTGGTGCATCCCTATGATTTATACAGCATAGGCCTGGGAGACAAGGCGATGTATAAACCTAATCTCAAAAAGGTAGGCACTGTCCCAACTTTTTTGGAATGTACTGCATGTATCAAATTTGGTAGTAGTGTATATTTACAAGAATCAATAAAGATAATAAGGTAAAGTTTTAGATATCTCTTCTTTGTGCTCTTCTTAATTAGACACCCATAAAACGTATTTTACAAATCACTGCTTTTTGTTTTTATTTGCATTTTACC